TGTATATTATTTTCTACTTTTAATTTATTTTAGGTATTTTTTTATGATTACTATAGGGCATGTACATAAATACACCCATATAAGTCTTATACACGATCACAACTAAGCGACTGTAAAGCAAAGCCTCGACGCACATAATAATATTCTAAAGCAGTGCCATAAAAATAAAATCTGCTAAGCTCGTAAAGATACCCAACATCGAGATAAAAAACATGGTGAAAGATTACAAACATGGTTTTTATTCTAACCTTTCAATTTGATTTACTAATAGCATATACCGATTTTTAACACCACTAAAAATAAATTGAAATTATTTGAAGTTTTCTTTCGTTTAGTTACACTACGAACGTTCAACGCGAAAAAAACAAAAGTGGATAAAATACGTTGAGATTATTGATTGAAATAAGTAGATAAAAGACGTTGAGTATATACAGCGTGTCGTTACCATCGCGACAATAAATGAGCACACGTCTATCGCTACTTGCCAATAATCATAAAAAAATATTAACGTTAAACAAAATCCATAATTAAAAGAAAATATTTTTCAAACAAACTAATTAAGTAAAAAAGAAACTAAATTTGTAACATCCTATAAAATTCGCGCCACAGCGTCGTAATACAAGCCTCTCCTTCTAACAGTATGTTTTGTCTCTTTTAAATTCATTCAACCCATTCATATGGTTTGTGACCTTTACAAATGAACTTTACGTTACGCTTTTATAGGTAAGGCTGTTCTAAAATTCTTTGTTTTGGAAAATTTCATAACTCTGTAAATATTGATGTTTAAAGAATTTAAATGTTTAATACAACTTTAAAAACTTATTCCCTATATGTGTGTTCATTTATTGTTGCGATGGTAACGACACGCTGTATATAATTGCATATACTGAGATTATGCTGCTCATTTTTAGGGTTCTGTACCTTTAAAAGGTAAAAAGGAATCCATTTAAGATCACTCTCTTGTCCGTGTGTTATCACCGATTTTATCAGGAACGGGAGAACTTAGCAAGTTGAAATTAATAAAAATCAACGTCCTGAGTCAACACAATACAAAGATATGGGCAAATTTATATTTTCGCGAAAACTTGTAAGTACCAATCATAATAATAATCATAATCATCTTTATTTGCAGAAATATGGTAGATAAAAATTTTCAGTATAGACAAAAGTACATAATATAATTAATACAAACACAATCTAAGTCAATCAAATAATATTAATTACCTAAATTAAAACAAAATGAACAAAAATTGTCGAAATTTTAAGCAATAACAAATGATATCAATCACAAAAATAAATAGAATATAATGTCATAATTCAATACAATCATAATTACAGTAATTGAGAAAAAAAATATATTAATATGTAGTATTTTATGAGTTTTATATAATAATAACATAATTCAATGTCCCATTACAAATATAGCAGATACAAAGTAATTTTAAAAACACACAACACAATATATTTTTTTTTATTTTCACTTGACCGGTTTATATATCAGTGTACTAAAGAAGTCACATTATTCTGCATCAGTCATTCGACTGCGGAGTGGGCGCGATTTACGCAAGAAGCCAGCAATATGCATAGCTGTTAACAAGTTCAGACTGATGCAAGCTGTGACTTGAGCAAGTCACTTTCCACATTAAACTTTCATATGCGTAAAACTCATGAAATAAGCGTACAAAAAACTTGATTCGTCTTAACTTAGCTACCACGGCTTTGGACTTTAAGTAACATTGTTCTCATTAATTTAATCAAAATGTTAATATAAAACTGACGAGGACTACTATTATTATCTCATTAATTCACACAAAAATAAAAACTATCATGACTCAACAATATTACCTACTTTGATTTTAGGAATATGTTAATTTAATAGCCGATGAGGACAATAAAGTTAAGAATGTCGTCGATTATTCGACGGCATAATTTATTTCAATTAATTATTTAACATTATTTAGCAGTGGACTCAAACAGGCTGAAATGATGATGATGATGAATTATTTAAATGATGGGAAAGGCCTGTATTCAATTGTTGTTGTTTATTTTCCGAAAGCTTTAACAGCGAATTTTATTTTATTTTGTCGGCCAATATTTTTACGTATGATGTATTACGGTGATGTATTACAATATAAAAAAAGTAATAAGTATTTTAAAAATTATAAGCAATAAAAATCGAGAAAATATACATCCTATGATGGTGTTTTAACTCCTGGTACAATTTTTTTTTTCGTTATGAAATCCTGAATAATGGTTCTGTAAATTTTTGCCTAAAGTTTTAAGCAAACTGCCGCAGCTTGGGAGAAAATGTCACTTTTTGCCCTTACTAAATTACTATTAATTATTATACAAGTACTTCACGCCGGTGTTCTGCGAGGTTAGTTACTTCAAGAGACGAGCTCCACAGCAGAAACTTGCGTTGCCTTACCACTTTGAAATGCATGACTTCAACGACTGTCCCAATCTAATTCACCGCATGACGGATCATATCCCGAAAGGCTTAATTAACGTCTCCTGCACGGCTGGGCCCCTTTTCATACAAAGGAATTATAGGCAAAATATGACACAACTGGTTGCGTTCGAGTTGTTAACATTCAAAGTGAATAATTTGCTTCTTTTTATGAGCTTGCTATTTTAAAATTAACAACGATACATATTTAACTTAACGGATATATATTTTGTATCTACCCAAAAACTATTAAACGACATCGGTTTCTATAGTTCAAAACAAAATTAAATTGTTTTCAGTCATTGAATTGAATGTACTTAGTTTCTTTCAATGTGAAAGTAGGTAACGCTATCATTGCAAATCAAAAATGCAATTTACATACTTTTCAATGACGTATAACTTAATTTTATAGTTTAAAATTACCAAACAGTTAAATTAAAAAACATGTCTATTTGTCGATCATAACTAAATATACAGCGTGTCGTTACAACTTCGACAATAAATGAACACACATATAGAGGATAACTTTTTAAAAATGTATTAAGCATTTATATTCTTTAAACATAAATATTTACCGAGTTATTAAATTTTACAAAACAAACAGTTTTAGAACACCCTTACGTATAAAACTGTAACGTAAAGTTCATTTGTAAAGGTCATATGAATGGGTTGAATGAATTTAAAAGAGATAAAACAAACTGTTAGAAGGAGAGACTTGTAATGCGACGTTGTGGCAACGAATGAAAAAGTCTCCGAATGTATGAATCAGTCAGTTGTAGTTGTATAAGATGTTAAAAATTTTGTTTCTTTTTTATTAATAATTAGTTTGTTTGAAAAATATTATTTTTTTATTAGGGATTTTTAACGTTTATATTTTATTGTTTTTGGCAAGTAGCCGTGTGTTCATTTATTGTCGCGGTTGTAACGATCCGTAAAGTACCCGTAAAGCCAAAAAGAGGTTAAATGAGGCCTTATAACGAGACCATTCACAATATTTAAGAACCGTAGTAACGCTGTATAACATACACCAAAAAAATAAAAAAGTACCATTATTTTCACTGATGTGCAAACCCTATTTCAGTAAAATTAAAGAGTAAACTATGGAGACCTACATTTCTACCTAATTCGATCGAAACGGTTGTAGGATATCGATTAGAATATTTGAAATTGACAACCATTTATTTTTCCAACTAGCCAATTTTTGAAGCCAGTTGTGTTGAGGTAGCAAACATTTATGAATGAAAAACAGAAAAACTATTAAAGTAGACAATTATTAGGTAAAATAGGTACGTAGGCCTTTCTATTAAATAATCTTGTTCTCTGATATGACAGCTTAATAGGGTTGACAAATTTTTTGCCTTTGATAATTAATTATATTTTTTAGGGAATACTGTAACACGTTGTATATGACATTGAACATAAAGAAACTATTCTTCTTTTTCCTATAAACTAGCGGTTTGGTACGTATTTAACAATTACAGACTTTATATATAGCAGTTTAATTAAATGGCTGATTTAGGAAATTGATGAATTATGTAGCGCATTGTGTCACTTATTTCCATTTATATTTAAAAGTACATTTAATAAATTAGCACAATTTGACGAACTTAGCTTAAAATAAAAGTAGTTAAGTTTTACTATAGTCTCTTTCCTGTTTTCCAGACTGGAAAAGTAATTAAATTTTTAGACTGATAACAAGTTACACAATTTTGAAATTAGGTAGGATTTGTGTATAATAGTGTAGAAGGGTTTACCACTCTCAAACTTTTCTCTACGATTACTTTAGAGCAGATTTAACCATTTGCTTTAAAGTTTTCTCATTTAGTTATATAGCCACCACAAATGTTAAGCCACTACACATGTAACAACAGAACAAAAAGTTTTTAATGTAATTTGAACTTCTTCACTACGCCAAATTAAATTTCTCAACCTCAGTCTAGGGGTTATTCGACAGCCTTGCATAATTTTATAATTCAATTTACCTTTATTTATATTCTTCAAAACACGTAAACATATTACGTGTTTTGCAGAATGAAAATTACAAAACTTTAGAATTTGGCGGGTTAAGTCGTCAAAATTGAGAAAAAAGAAAGTTTGTAAGCACAAAAATGGAAATGTAGGTCGGTGCAACGAGCATTTTAGGGTGAAGGTTTACGTTATCTTTTGTAATACATTCATGGTAGCATAGTATAAATAAGCATGCCGCTAGGAATATTAAACACATCAAGAATAAGTTAAACATTTTATTATATTCTATATCACAAGTATACAACTTATATTTTATGGAGTATTCATTAAAGTTTACGTTTTATATAGCCTTCTATAAAATTAAACATAGCCCCATGTGAAAATGAAGTCAATTATATTTTTTGAATAAAGTTTATTATGAACTTTATCATTTCAACGTGAAATAACAATAGTTAGTATATTTAATATTGCAATACATTTATATTGTGTTACGTATAAATAATTTACATATGATATCGCCTTCTTCACACTAGCTTAGTACACAACGATATAATATGCCGAATGTCGCAAATTTCTTTCGTCACAAATCGCTGTTAACGATAAATCTGTTGCCTTCAGAATGCTTGCCCGTGTATTTGAATCGACATTTCCCATAGGCACCTGAAAGTGGAATGATACATAAATTCACCTCTTTTTATTAGGGATTATCTGTAGTTTGATTAAACACCTTATAGTGTGGTGGTATAGATGTTGGTGTTAATTATAACTAAGTTTTCTTTTCTTTAAGGTCTTAGAATATATCATAACATATATTTGTTATTACAAAATCGAGGTATGTTAAGTTATCAGAACAATTATTTCTTTATCTTTACCGATAATAAAATGAAAAATAATTGTGGTATATACGATGGCTTATTATACATGAATATTTTAACAGCTTTTATGATTTGAAAGTTCCTCTTTCATTGTATTTCTGAGTCGTGCGTTCGATTCCCACAGCGGCGAAAAACTTCTTTTCCCCAGACTTTTTCCACAAATTTTAATCTGAAAGTTTGTTTCGAATAGTCTCCGACTGTTCTTAATTCATTTGTCATGCTCAAAATCTGTTAAACTTAGTCCAAATTGACTAACGGCACTTTTAAATTTTTATATATGTGTAGATTTGGTTACTTGCGATAGTTATTTGTCATAAACTCTATAATACTCACATGAAAATTTTCTCCGGTAACCAAATCCACAGATAAATAGATAGAATATTGAAAACGGCCGCTAGACTTTTTGTGTCGGTTCAGGTTAGCTATTAGGTATCAGGTTAGCAGTTAGGTATGCTAAAGAAGCATGCAGACTGGACGAAGGAGTGTTTTCCTCAATACCAACGACAGTTGAAGTTTAAAATTATGCCAACACGGATGGGATGAGAAGAGAAGGGGTGTAATCTATGAATTATGTTGCCACGAAAAAGTACATGCGTTATGATAGTTCAAAAGGCGAAATTATCAAACGAAAGCTAATTCGGGGTATCGTCACCGCTGGCAACATCTCATATCACAACCTTTTCATTAAGAGTTGAACCAAAGCTTCCGTCGGACTCCAGTCAGATAATAGCTACCAATCGAGCCAAGGTCCGGCCTTCACGGGCTCCCTCGAATTGGAATGCTAAACGCGTATTGAGTGATAGCCCAAGCCGAGGCCCCCTCTCGGGGACCCTTGAGCTTAGTCACTCCATGGAGCGTCCGCCAAAGCGCCCTTAGAGCTTCGCGACTTCCCAAACCGGGGTGAAATTAATAATAGCGTGACGGCCCGAACCAGGGCTCCCTCGAGAGCCCTCGAGCTTAGTCACCATGCCGCGTAATAATTCGTCGAGGTTCAGTCTAGGTGCCCCGAGCGCCCTGCCACCTCAAGTCCGGCGGAACTGTAAAGGCCCCTAAGGCCAACAATGGCTCATTCAGCCCAAAAAAGACATTCCGTCGGTCTTCTACGACGCCGTGGTACTTTCCCGGACGTGCGTGCCCATTTGAGCAACAGCAGAAGCGGTTGCGTGGCCCTACCACAGTAACATTAACAGCAATAGTTCCTTATGGAAGAGCCTAATGACCGGTGAGTGTACATAAATATGACGAGAACGGTATTCTTGCGATCGTTGAAATTTATCTGGGGTCAAATTCCGACAGACAATGCTCCTTGGCGAGTGAGATAGATGGTTTGGAATTGACTGATTGTTTTCTTATTTTCACACGAACACTACAACATAATTATGTTAAACTATTTTTACAGATTTTATCGCATTGGATTATGAAATATCGGTTTTTATTGCATTGGATCATTGGATTCGCAAGAGAAGAGTGGGCAGATATTTGATACAACTAAACGTACTTCAAGGACTAAATATTTAATTATCACTATCTGCGTGGATAAAATATCAAGTTTTATAGTTTTAAAAAACTTACGGTAGCCTGGATGTCCTGTAACGCGGGGAGGGTAGAGAATTTATTGTACATTTAAACGCGATAAAATCAGTGGATTTGATAATGAATTGTTGCATTTTTAACAATATCGACCAGAATTATATTGAACACGTGTGGAGTATTCGGCGGCCTAATATAATTCAAACGTCTTCAAAAACCCTTAGGTACCTACATGTGAAAAACGGTGAGTGTAAGAGGTATGCTGCAATAAAAGCAAAAGCATACACAAACAATTTATTTTTTATCTTTATTTTTCTTTTTTAAACTTAATAATTTCCGTAAAAAATAAAAAGGCTACCTTCATGTTACAAAACATCTTAGGTTATTTCATAGAATTAACTTTGAAAGAAATACCTCAACCTCTCTATCAAATCAACACATTTATAATTTTGGCAGTTACTAAGGCATCAGTCTGCACGATTACGTTTTTTTTTTAATTCAGTCAAGAACAAGAAATTTTAAACTACATTTAAACGGCGATTAAAGAGTTGCGGGCGGTATAATTATTTTATACCTGGACCAAACTAGTTTTAGTCTAAAACAAAAACTTGACCTTTTGAGATTACCGTGTTCTATTATATATTTTTATGAATTTATAGCCTTTATGTCTGCATACCACACGGTGTGCCGATTTCTTATTTAAATAAAAGAAACGTGAAATATTAATCATTACTATAGTAATTATTATCGAACTCTGTCACATGTGATTAGTATGTATCCAGTTAGTATCCTTAATCTCTAGTATTACCACTGATAATTAGTTTAAGTGAATAAGAATTCGAAGAGAAAAAAACAGCGATTTAAAAAAGCAGCAATTTATGCATTGCTGCGGGAATGAAGGAGTGGATACTAAAGTACGTTTTTAATAAAACAAAACCGACTTCAAATATCTCATTATACATTTTCTATTTGAATTTAAGTATCTCCGCAGTCCAAAGTCAAATACCAACGAATTATTATGGTATCACATTAGAGCTAAACCGAACCTAACGCAAAAAGAATAATCAAAATCGGTTCATAAATTACGGACTTCTGACATGAATAACAAACATACAATCGAATTGTCAACCTCCTTTTCAAGACACAACCGACATTAAGGTTTGTTAAGGAAGGGCTTTGGGAGATAAAACGGTCACGGGAGCACAAAGGAGCATGAAAGCATGTACGCCGTCTTCGCAGCGAGCTTAGGGGTCAATGGAAACCTAGCTCGCCTCTGCTTGCCCAGCAACGCCGGTTGTTAAGGAAGGGGTTTGGGAGATAACACGGCCACGGGGGCACAAAGGACGATGAAAGCATGTACACCGTTTTCGCAGCGAGCTTAGGGGTCAATGGATAACTTGCTCACCTCTGTGCTTGCCCAGCGACGCCAGGTCGACGGGCATCGGCCGAACGAGCGGGCCAATGGTGGGCGGCGGCTGTTCCGCGTCGGCGGGGGGACGGCGTACGCGCGTGAACTCGCCGCGCGCGAACGCCTCGGCGCGTTCTTGCGCCGACACGCGCCGCGAGTCGAGGAAGCGCAGATCGCGCAGTTTGTATATTACGAAGCACCTGGAACGAGACGAATTCGCAATGCGTGCAACACTTTGACCCGATTGGCGTGGGGAGTAGAGGCCATGCCTCTTGCGCCAGAGGGTGTGGGTTTTTTTATGTGAAAAGTTGACAAGCGAGCAGACGGTCCACCTGATGTTAAATGAATACCGCCGACCATCGACATTTGTTACACCCGAGGGTTGCAGATGCGTTGAAAACCTTTTAAAAATTGGGCTCCGGTCACCACACTCACCTGACGAAACGCGAAAGTATTATTTCCACTTTACGCCGGTCTTCTGTGAGGTCGTGGTACTAACTCGGACGAGCCTGCCCATTCGTACAACAGCTGAGCTGGCTGCGTGGCCCTACGCCGTTTCACGGTGGAAGTGGTTTGATCCCTACTACTGGAACATTTATTGTGTGAAACATTATAGTGTTTTTCCAGTGTCTGGTTGTTTATATATGCATAATAAAAGTATGTTTATCGGTTTTCTAGTACCAATAGTACAAGCGTTACTTAGTTTGGGACTAGAGAACATTGTGTAAAAAATGTGTCCGAAAACATTCATTTATTTATTTACTTTGGAGAGGGCACGTAACGTGGCGTATTGGCTTTTATTAATTTATAGTTTATGCACACAAAATATGTAAAGAGGCGAGCTTAATGCCATCAGTTATCATTTTCATGGCTCGACTTTATTGTAAGCCTTTGGCTTTGCCTTCGCGAGCTCTTGTTTCACCCCCCAAATATGACATTTTAACGTAACAGCCTCGGTCAGAGACCTTAATTACTATTATGAATATAATGTTAATGTGGTATTGCGTTGTGGGCGTATTTTGAGTGCTTATGCATTTTGAAGAGACATTATAATTATCTGTTATGTCTTTTATTGCCTTTCGTGGCCTTGACTCTGGATTTAAAACCGGTGAAACGTTCGGTGATATTGAAAGCTTTTGGATTTGACTTCGCGAGTAGTTGTTCCGACCAAAGCTAACAGTTTTGGGCCTTACATGATAACTGTTAAAGACGTTGCATAGCAAACTCATTAAGAGGTACAATTAATTGCCATTGAATTTGTTCATTTGTGAAATTCTGTCTTAAAGTTAATTAATAATGCTACACTGTATACATGAAATTATGCATTTTCCGCTGCGTTATAAAAGGAATTTGGTTTAAATTACGCGGGAATAATTGTGCAAAAATGTGACTCAAATGTGTAACACACACTGTTATGTAAATTACGTGTTGTGTTGATATGTATTTCTATAGGGTTACAACTTTTCACAATAGTTTTTTTACAAAGTCATATAACAGAATTTTAATAGTATCTTGACGTGTAATTCCAGGTTTTAATTTTTATTTTTAAATGTTTTTCTTTTCATGATTTTAACACCCCACCGTTATAGCGGAGATAAATAAATTTAATTTAAATCTTAACACGTGTTTCATGAAACAGGTCGTTGTTCTGTATCTTTATTATGTTGTTTGTCTTTGTAATGACACTTTTGAATTCTGAGGCAACTACTCGGTTGTAAAATTTGCAAACGATTTCGGTGAGTCAATAAATTTTCATTGATGACGAGTGTTTATTATTGGGTGGTGTTTTTAATCACGTGTGTCAACTACGTGCCATTTGACGACCCGAATGGCGTAGTGGGTAGTGTAACTGCCCACTACTGGAATAATATTGTTTGTTAACATAATGTTTTTCTAGGGTCTGGGTGTTTGTATATATGTATAATATGTATTTATTTACTAAAGAAAATGTTATGTTTAGGTATGTTTATCAGTTATCTAGTACCCGTAGTACAAGCGTTGCTTGCTTAGTTTAAGATTAAACTAGAATGTTGAAAATTGTCCTAAATATTCCTAAAAAAAAGGTGTTCGAACCTCAATGTCAGTTTGGTAATTGTATCGTCAATGGCCAATATTTAAAATATGCTTCTCTGTTTAAACTCATTTAAATAATCATTATAGATTCACATTTCCCACGTTCAGAGATGTCGAGTATTATATATAACATAGATATAGCTTAGGCGATGATAAGATATGCTAAATTACCTACAAAAATAACACTTCCCACGCACCATTTATTAAAATGATATTAACGTTGTGTCTAGTCAATGTTATTTATAAATATGGTGAGATTTATTAAAATAAACAACATTTCTATATACGACGTATCATAAGATAAAAATTTGAAATGTTGTATTAGCATTACGTGACTAAGAACTATCATTGGAAATATATATTTTTTAAATATGAATGTATTAGATGGCAGGTATAAGGTTGTTACTTAGCATCGGATGAACCGTCTATTAGTTTGCATTAAAAACCTTTACATCGTATTATCCTGCGGGCAAGTCGCAAGTAAAACACGTATACAACACAGGTAGCGTATTCTACAAATTGATAACTATAATTTTTATCAATTATTATAAACGTAAACAACATTGTCCAAAATTTAGACAAACTTAAGGCGCTGTATGCAGTAAAAATAGGTTTTTCAAAAGATTTTTTAAAAAAATCTATACATTTTATAGAAGCAAAAAAAAATATATGTTAATTTTGATCTTACATTCTAATGGACCATTGTTTTCAAAACATATTCTCGATATATTTTCTCGATAGAAAAAAATCACGAGCCTACCTCTAAACGTGAAATTCAAATAAAAAAATAGATGTAATGAATGAACAAATCTTAATGAAATTAATATCAGTGGTGTAGAATATATTAATAAAAAGGACTGTAGTTTTAATTTGTTGATTGAAGAAAGATATTTGTAAATATTAATTTAATTCATTAAAATTAATTCGAACGCGATGGCCAAAACACCGCGCCACCGCGGCGTTGTTTCGGTTCTCTTCCAACTCCACACGTTGAACAGAGAGCGCTGAGGCACCTTGCTAGATGGACCTATGCCGCTCATCCCCGCTCACCGTTACGAAATATGTTTCGTATTTATTTATTATTGAGAGTTTTAATTTTATTAGATCTTCGAAGACACGAAACTAAAAGATATATATTCACATATTTCTTATTTATAAATTATTTGTATGTATTAACAGTTGTTAATTAATTTATTTAAAGCATAATTTCAATGTCTTATCTCGTGATTGATTGGTCTATCAGTCCTATACATACAGTGTATAGGACCATCATTCTTTATGGATTGGGTTCAAATCCCTAAATTATTGTTGTGCTTATTGTTGATTTTCTTATTTGAAAGTATTTCTTAATTACCATTTTATTATTTATAATAGTTCATTTTATTATTTTCATAAATAATTACAACGAAATATTATTGTATTTGTTCAAAGTTGAAACAGTTGGAGAACAATCTATCAGTAAATAAACCAACTTTTAGTATTAAAATTTTTTAACGTCATCTATTTTTTTATTGATTTATTTAATTGTTCACCCTAAAACGAAAATTTATCTTGTACCCGAAATATAATTATTTTATAATTTGTTTATTTCCCAAATTGAGCCATTTTATAAAATAAAAACAAAACAATTAGTTGGCTAACTAATTAAAAGTGAAAATAATATAAAAAATACAACTCTACGCCTACATCTTACGCAATTACAATTTGGTTTTTCCAAATAATGCAGCTATCGTAAAAATTTTAAACAAATGTTACCCTTGCGTTTTACTATTCCTATTTCATTTCTTACATGCTCTATCTAGCACGTATTAGGTAAGTAGTTATTCACAGATACGAATTGTTTGTATCTGTGAATAACTACTTACCTGTCAATATTATTCACAACTAGCTGACCTGGCAAATGTTGTTTTGCCATATACATTATTTCTAGAGGAATCAGAACGGAATAAAGTGTTTGACAGCTTACACATACATAGTTGACAGGTTGACAGGTACAGTTTGTATGGGAAAATAAAAATGTTGCTATTTCGATTTCGGACTGCCACAAATATTTCAAAACCAAAATTAGCCAATTCGGTTCAGCCGTTCTCAAGATTTAGCGAGACTAACGAACAGCAATCCATTTTTATACAGCGTGTCGTTACAACCGCGACAGTAAATGAACATGTGTGTTCATTTACTGTCGCGGTTGTAACGCGACTTGTATAGAGGATAACTTTTTAAAATTGTATTAAGCATTTGCATTCTTAAAACATCAATATTTACCGAGTTATTAAATTTTACAAAACAAACATTTTTAGAATACTCTTACGTATAAAACTGTAATGTACAGTTCATTTGTAAAGGTCACAAAGCATATGAATGGGTGAGAAGTTCTCACAAACTGTGAGAAGGAGAGACTCGTAATGCGACGTTGTGGCAACGAATGAAAAAGTCTAGTCTAAGGGCTGTTCTAAATTGTCTAGACAAATATTGTTTCTTTTTTCTTTAATCAGTTTGTTTGAAAAAAAAAAGTTGGATTTTTTTAACGTTTTTTTTTTATTATTATTGGCAATTAGCGCTAGACGTGTGTTCATTTATTGTCGCTGTTGTAACGACACGCTGTATATAAGATAAGTCGTTCATTATTGAAAGCAAAGCCGAATATGTTCCAGACAGTTATTTGTGGAAACAGTTGTTCAACAACTTCTATACGAAAATAACCATTCGTAATCATTAATTCTTAACTTAATATGGCACACATAATAACACACGCATTATCATAAATTAAAAAGAAAAAAACTGGACAAGTATGAGAAGTTTATTTCCACTAAATCAAATCCGTACCTAACTTTTATACAGAAAAATTTATCCTCGGGATTATTTGGGTTTAGGGTCGGAGATTTATAATGAGAGAACGCCCAGCCGTTTACAAAGGGTGAATTTTGTTTGAACGTTTTTGGAATAACATTATAATATTTTCTATTTACAATGCTCCGTTATCAAAGCGTAGAATTATTTGACAATCCCCATTGTTTTGTTACATAATATGTCCACATGGGTCAGAATCAGTTCGATTATAATTCGGATTGCTTACACCTTAACTTAAATGATGTGATATCGTGTTAACAAGTTAAGCTGCTTGGCTCTTACACGCAATACTAGTATCTAGTTGCGCAATATCCGATAGGTATTAACATCGATTTAATAATTCAGAGTTTTAATACTTTATGGTCTGCATAACGAAAAAAGTTTATATCTCAACAAAGTTCACGGTTATGGTCATCCATTCAACATTTATCATCCAAATTCAAATTCTACGCGAATTTAGTATGGGCTTTGAAAAAGACATTTAAAGAGGAGGAAATTCCAAGTAAAAAAGTCACAGCTCCCGAAAATTTACCTCCATTATTTATAATTTCAATTCAGCGCTGAAAATAGGACTCCAATCAGCCGTTAAACTGAAAATCAAAGTTTCTTATTCAAATAAACGCGTCTTAATTATAATTTCTTTTTATTAAAAATACCATTTATTAAAAACACCATTACTTTTCCATTTTAGCTACATCTATTTGTTAATAAAACTTTAATATTTTACTTTAACACAAGCAAGTATTATTTATACATGTCAGATACAATATAGAGAAATACAGGGTTATTGGTAATTCGACGTATTTAGCAGGTGATAGGGGTGAATATTTACATAATACGATGTAGGACGCATTATGCAAATTTGAACCATTTTTGAGTTATCGCGTTTTTTAGCTGTTTTCAGAATAAGTCAAAAATGCAACATCTCAATTTAAGCTTAAATTTTTTCTTCTGATTTACAAAAAAAATTTAAACACTGGTTATTTATGAATATTAAAACAACAATTATCGGTCCCAATTTGCGAAAATATGCGAAACGAAAGCCGAAATACCGAAGAACCGTAGTAGGGAAGTTTCCATCAAGATGTCGATGTCTCAAGGTGACTAGGGGAAATGGACATTGTCAATATGGGCGCTCTTGATCATTATAATCGGTCCATATTAATACTGCCTGGTTACTCAAGTTGCCCGTAACATACATAACCTATTATCACGAAATTGATACGTATCCATGTCGAAATGTGACGAAAGACACAAAGCAAAATAGTCTTATTAAAATAAAATTTAAACTTACCTGTATCTCTGGTAATCTGAATCATCTTTATCAAAGTCTGAGAGTTGGTTTGGACAGGCTTTGTTTCTAAGCAAGCTTAGATATGAAAGCGCCGGCAAGGAATCACATATCTTTTGAATTAACCCTTCCAAATCTGTAAGCTAAATGAACAATTTCTCATTAAGCTAGTATTATTATCATTATTTGAATTGTATCACGTGGTTGATATTTCAACTATATTTTATATTAGAACATTGTACCACGCAGAAATTTTTACGAAAAAATGTTTTTGGTATGGACTGTAATTTATTTCGGGATATGATTATGAGAAAAAAATTGGATGTACCATTTTAAATGAATAATTTCTCATTAAGCTAGTATTATTATTATTATTTGAATTGTATCACGTGGTTGATATTTCAACTATATTTTATATTGGAACATTGTACCACGCAGAAAGATTTATCAAATAAGGTTTTTGGTGAGGACTGTAATTTATTTCGGGATATGATTATGAGAAAAAAATTGGATTTACCATTATAAATGAATAATTTCTCATTAAGCTAGTATTATTATTATTATTTGAATTGTATCACGTGGTTGATATTTCAACTATATTTTATAATAGAACATTGTACCACGCAGAAAGATTCATCAAAAAAGGTTTTTGGTGAGGACTGTAATTTATTTCGGGATATGATTATGAGAAAAAAATTGGATTTACCATTATAAATGAATAATTTCTCATTAAGCTAGTATTATTATTATTATTTGAATTGTATCACGTGGTTGATATTTCAACTTTATTTTATATTAGAACATTGTAACACGCAGAAAGATTTATCAAAAAAGGTTTTTGGTGTGGACTGTAATTTATTTCGGGATATGATTATGAGAAAATAATTGGATGTACCATTTATCTTAATATCATGTGTTTTTAATTGCAAAGCGGTTTGTTATAGTGTTTGGTTTGTTTCACTACGACGCGATATGATATTATATTAAGTCATTTACAAATCGGAGCAACTTCAATGCCGAATAGTATAAAAAGAAATGCTTGATAATTTTTTGCTCCTATGAGCTTTACCATGGCAGCACTGCACTTAAAAAAATACTTCCCGCATATTTTTACCTGGTAGGGTCACCCAGTAGCTTCGGCTGATGCACGAATTGGCAGGCTCATCCTCATTAAATCTTTTGTATTAAGATTCACAAATCTGTAACCACTTAGACACTTTCTAAGTGGTTCACATAAGGTATTTTGTTTTCAATGTGAGAGGGTGGCAAGCGAGCTGGCAGTTCAGCTGATATTAATTGGTAACCACCGCCCATCGACATTTGCAACACCCGTTCGGTTGCAGATGCGTTGTTGCACCTTTTAATAAAGTGGGCCCGTTTACCCCAGTTACCAGACGAAACGCAGAAGTATAACACTTCCACTTCACGCCTGGTTCCTGTGAGGTCGTGGTACGTTCCCGGACGAGCCTGCCCATTCGTGCAATAGAGAAGACTGTTGGACTGACTGGAAATGCCCGTTTTGGGAAAATAATTAATAAATTGAGACGTTATAAATATATAACGTGTATACTTTTAACGATTTAAAACTGAACGTGTATTATATGTACTAGTCACGGAATAATTTTTCTGAAAACTTTCAGATAATCGTTATGAACAAAGTTTGAATGATGATATAAATGTGTCTGAGGTGAACAGGAACGTTCCCTATTACATATCATTGAAATGCAATAGCAACGAGTATTAGTAGTGCAGTATCGACGGTAATGTCTTCCTCTCTATTCTGTAACCACATATAATTAAAAACTAAGTGCGTGAATGATCAAATGGAATACCTTGTTGTTATTCAAAGAAAGCGTTTTTAAATGAGGTAGAAAAGGCAACTTTATGTTGTCTTCTAATTTATTGTTATCCAATATTAATTCTTGTAGCCTCGTGAAATATTCCAAGCCTCTGAGGGATTCGATATTGTTGTAGCTGTAATAAAAACTATTTTTTACAATAATGCATAGTAAAGAAAAATATTTAATAATAATTATTTTTATTTGATTTTTTTTAATATTCGTATTTTAGAATAAGTCAATATACGTGTTGGTAAATATCAACATCTAAAATGTATGGACTTTTTACACAAACTAAATTCAATATTTCATGAACGGTTGGAAAACATTAAAAAAGTAATTTCGTTTAATTTCAAATGAAATAAAATATAAAGAAATTGTTCTTCAAATATGCAGTCATGTTTGCATGAGAAACAGTTAATAATTCTTATTCTTTTTGTTAACCTTATATTATACACTCAATTATAACATTAGCAAAGGAATGAATCTACTTCGGCGAATTCGTTTTGACATTGTTACTCAATTTTGTATTGTCTTTCTATTGTTTAGCCATAATCCTACTTGGTGTTTAGTAGCCATGAAGCCTTAGACGTCGGGTTCACTAGCTTAGTATGTTCTTTTGTTTCACTTTTGTAGCTACGTTGAGAACTAATACCGTCTACTTATAAATGTTGTAGCTTTTGTCAATATTTACAAGATAAACGAGTGAAAAACTTTCTCACTCTTTAAGATAGTTGAAACAAAGAAAAACTAAAACCACGATGGCTTGAGCAATTATGTTCAAAGATAGAAATCATTTACGATGCATATATTGATTGAATTGAACGTTTCTTACCTTAAATCCAAATATTGCGCTTTGGTGCCGTACATTGTCCATAGCGCGGTCGGAATTTTTTGGCAGTCCTGCCCGCAGTAACTTAACTGCAACCAAAAATCCAAATTCAAAAATATTAATACAAACCTGCCCGTGTTTTGCTACCTTTCCACCGATATTGGTAGACAACGTTCAATAAAAGTTTAAAGCTATGTCACTTCCATTCATTGAACTAATAAAAACGCCCTTGAACACAATAATGTAAATGTTAATGGATTACTTATTTCCGACCTAATTGTATACAAAACCATGACAAAATATGACCGTGTGCCCAAAAGTAGAAGTTAGCTGTGGGTCGTCATTGTCTCATATTGGATTCAAACCAACATCTCTATAAAAAAACAGTGTAGAAAGATTGAACAAAGAAATAAATTTTTAAACAGGTATAAGATTCTATCATGTAATAGAATATAATAAACATTAACGAAAGATCATAAAATATTTTTTTCGCGATCTATGGACCCGTGACATAATTAAAGGTAAAAGACTTTTACAATATTAGTAATGAGCTGTAATTAATCATAGACTTATATTACGTCGATAATTTGATTTTTAATTAAGTTCACATGGTATTAGGTTTCTCGTACAAAATAAATACGATCGAATATCAATTAAGACATCGCTCAATTACTTGGAACGGAATAAAAGGCCCGTAATATATTCGAGAATTTAATTTACGAGGAATGTCGATAGTAAAATATACAATATAACAACATGTGCCAAGAAAATCGTTTGGTTGATGGACATTTCAATGTGATTATGTAAAAGCATAGGAAATAAACGAAACGTATCACCGCTTCGTATAAGAAAGTCTTGTACACCCAAATAAAAACAAGTATAGAAAAATATTCAAGAACTATTATCTAACTGGAGTAGGCAGAAATGATTGGTGCTGTGCACTTCACATCGTTTATTAGGTACTGTGATGGCTAACAAACGGCTATAATTTACGAACTACCATAGGAAACTTTTTGATAGAAAAAAAAAAAACGAAGTTGATTATTGGAAGCTAAAAATGAAAAATATTTTAGCATTATAAAAATAAAATTATGTCCAGTAATGGCATGTATGAAGCAATATGAATCTTAATTCTTTTGTAACTTTCGCAAAATGGGAATGTAACCCATCGAGCAATATCGCGTTGTAATGCGAGTATATCTTTATGGCGGGTCATTTTATGAGCGTCTTGCACTTAAATACGAGCTTGGGATTCTTTTTTATGTTCGCTTCTAACTAAAGGGTCGTTTTTTGATTAATTAAATTTGAGAAGTCAATGCCTTAATAGGTTTACGTAATTTGCTTTTAAAAATTTCTTAATAATGTGAATAAAGATTCTTTTGATAAATTTCTGAGGTTGCCTGGAAGAAATTGCTGTGTAGCAATAAGGTCGCCTTTTGATGACCAATATTTGATAAATATTTTGTTTAGTTCTGTCCTTTTTATTTTGGTGTACAATAAAGCATATTAAATCTCCTAATTCATTAATAAATGACAATGTCCGAAAACATTTGAGTTTGTTACTCCTCTTCAATCTCCTCGGCCGGCACAAGACGTGAATCATGTTGTCAGTGACAACACTACTGAACTACCTTCACGTCAACTTTGCAATAAACACCCAGGTTCGGAAGAATTATCTGTAGGTCACACAAATGCTTGTTCCCAGTGGAAATCTTTCTCACGACTCTCGGCTCCGAACCAACAGGCTCATAATTTTTTTAAAGAAGATTCGTTTCTTAGTCATGATTTTTAATGTTTCGTTGATACGGCATAAGCTTTTACAAAAACAGTTTTTTTTCTTTATCTTATTTACATAATTGACATTTGTCTTCGCTGTTGCACGTATGTGCAGTCCATGGGCGGCGGTTATCACTTAAGATCGGTTAAACTGCCAGCTTCTCACCTAAATACATTGAAAAAAGGAACGAATAATTGTAAGAATGTAAAAAGACGACGAATAATTGTAAGAATGTAAGAAAAATAAGTGTTCAAAGTTTAAGTGGTAGTTTGGGTTGGTTTGAAATGTTTATAAGCATAATTTTACAAACAGATAGATAATGTTTCGTTGATACGGCATAAGCTTTTACAAAAACAGTTTTTTTTCTTTATCTTATTTACATAATTGACATTTGTCTTCGCTGTTGCACGTATGTGCAGTCCATGGGCGGCGGTTATCACTTAAGATCGGTTAAACTGCCAGCTTCTCACCTAAATACATTGAAAAAAGGAACGAATAATTGTAAGAATGTAAGAAAAATAAGTGTTCAAAGTTATTCTAAAACCTTATACGCTTGTTATTCATATGGCATCCTTTTCGACCTCTACCTCTGTCAAACTTATTTACCTTTTTTAAATTTTAAGTGGTAGTTTGGGTTGGTTTGAAATGTTTATAAGCATAATTTTACAAACAGATAGAAGGTAAAATTAGGTCTAAAACTATTAATGTTCTTTATACATATATGTAGGTTTTTTAGACAGACATGTTATAAATATAGTACTCAGAATCTTATATTATAACTTTTTAAGTGCCCTTCTACAGAGTGTACTCAGCCGATTATGTTTTAGTAGATTAAACGTTATTGCCAATATGAACAACAAAGTCTCATGCATGTTTATAAATAGCATTAGTGTCTTATCTAATTATAAACTTCCACTTCAATTCAGTATACTTGACTAACTTCAGTTAAATCCAAATATGATAAACAATTAATTATTTATAACTGATTAAAAGTCTGATTAATTCAGAGTGAACAAAAATATTGGAAATCAAATAACAACAAACATGAAGCCTGCGAATGCACTGGGGCCTTAAAGTTATTTATGTATAAGTAGTAATTAATAATGGATATTAGTGTTAAATTTTGAAATTTTAAAAAATATTAAAATTTTAAATATCCTTACTATACCTTATCTAATATATAAAATTCTCGTGTCACGGGGTTCGAACTTGAACTCCTCCGAAACGGCTCGACCGATTTTTACCAAATTTTATATGCATATTCAGTAGGTCTGAGAATCGGCTACTATCTATTTTACGTCCCCCTAAATGTTAAGGGGGTAGTCCACCCCTAAATTTTTTTTTTATTTTGTATATAAAACTTTTTGTTTCTATTTTTTTATGACACAGCATACAAAAATACATACAACCCTAAATTTTCACCCCTCTACGCAGACGTAGTCGCGGGCAGCAGCTAGTACCTTATAAAGGCGAAAGTTTGTATGCATGGATGGATGTTTGTTACTCTTTCATGCAAATACTACTGAATGCATTCTAATGAAACTTTACAATAATTTAGCTTATACATCAGATTAAGAAATGGGCTATAATTTATATACATATTTTATGTATGTCTGTCCTTCTGTCTGAATGTTACCCCTTCAGCCAATTCTATGCTGACATACTCGCGGGCAGCAGCTGTAGCAACCATATGAAAACTTTATATAAAATAGCATATTTAACTACAAAATTACCTTCACACAGCGCTCTGTGTTATTGTCCTCTTCCATTATTACATTTAGATTTGACACTTGTTTCATTTTTTTATCAATTGTAACTAATTCTAAAGTATACTTATACTGGCTACTTGAAAAACTTCTTATTTCAGTTCTATCCTTACTTTGTACTTGTTTCTCAAATCCATACTTCATTACTACAATGATCCATTTAATAATAGAGAACAGGGAAAAATATAATTCAAGAATTGAACACAAAACTATGCTTGTATTTACAAGTAACAAAAAATAATCCATTAACATTTTTAATAATTGTCAAACCCTAGCAATACAATTACATTTTAAATGTCACTTAGCAGTCTCTTACAGCATTGAACTGAATTAATGAAGTTCCTTATTTAATTATGTCAGGTATAATTAAATAAACTCATATAGTAGTGGAACAGTGTGTCTAATATCAAGTTCTATTTAACTATGTACAATTAGCTGATGCTCTAAGTAAAATTGTCAAAAATATTAATATTATAGACCTATAATTTTTTTTACAAAATCATTTCTCCTTATTTAGAAAACATTTGAAAAGAAAAGTTTTATTATTGATATGTTATGAAGATATAAAAGAAAACCATTAAATAGTATTTTAAAAATATAACCAAAAGAAATTCATGTATTTTTTACAATACTTAAATGCATTCTACATTTAAGCGCTGTAAAAAATAAAGTTGATTATTTGTAACAAAATCAAAAATTACGTATGAGTTTAGATTCCCATTGAAATAGAATAACTTGTTAAAAATATAGCACTATTGTTCATTAACGGGTTGCTAAATAAATAATTTTATACTTACACGGTTGTTTTCGAAAGATAACGCAAAAGTGTTTATGTGAACTTCGCCCATTATTTATTAATACAGAAATTAAGTGTGAATATAGAGTTAAGTGGGAAAAGCAATACACATCAATTTTTTATCATTAATATATAAAATTAACTTATATCATAAAAACAGTAAATTTTCTAAATGAAAATATCTTTCTATATACGCGTACTAAATGAACATATTATTCTTCTTCTTCTTCTTCTTCTTAATAATGGCTTGCTTTGTGAGTTATCGCAATTCCGCCAATGTCAAGTTGTTAGCCATTACACGTAGGGGAATGACAGTTTTAAAATATAAATTTAGTTATCAGAGGTTACTGCTTTAAGCATGTTTTACTTGAAATAAAAGGACGTCATATACAGGACAACACATACATGAAACAGATAAAGTTGTGGAGATATAAAATTATAGTTTTAATTTGTTATGGGAAATAAATTTAGACAAAAGCTTGGGAATTTGATAATCTCTTATACTTAATAAGGTTTTCATGCAAATGGGACGAGGAACCCAAGTGGGTAGGACGTCATAAAGGGAGATATTTAGTTTGGGACAGTTAAAGAATAGATGGTCCACTGTACCATCCTCGGTTCCGCAATCACATACAGGGTTATCACGTATTTTGAGTTTAGCCAGGTGAACTGGGGTAATAGTATGGCCTATTCTTAATCTACAAATAGTAGAAACTATTCTTTTATTAAGAGTCTTCATCTTGAAGAACCATGGTGTAGAAGGAATAGTTTGTTGTATGTCATAATAATATCTGCCAGTATGGTTCTTAGTCTGTAGCCAGTGATTTTCCCACGACTTAAATAGGAGTTCATGAGCTAATGAGTATAAGTCCTGATGGAACACCTTGGAGTACTTAGGATCACCAGAAGAAATGGCAAGTTTAGCACAAGTATCCGCAGTTTCATTGCCTGGTATGCCATTATGGCCAGGGATCCAGGCCAAGACGACATTTACTTTTTTTTGGAGACTTCTTATCAATGCCTCTCTGATTTTTAATACTATTGCAAATTTAGATTTAGAGCGAAATTGGTTTGCAATTATGGCTTGTAAGCAGCTTCGAGAATCTGTAAAAATTATTGAGTTATTCAGGCAATGTGACTCTATGAATAAAATAGCTTCCAGAATAGCAATGGCTTCACCATTAAAAAACTGAGGACACAGGAGGCATTTTAAAACTGAGAATTATTTTATGCAATGGAATCCAAACAGCAGCTCCTATAAAACTGTTACCTTGCAGTTGAGCAGCATCTGTGTACAATGGAATCCAATTTTGCCAGTAGGTGGATAGATTTTTATGGAATGCCTGTACTGCCTGAGGAGAGTCTTTTTCAACGCCAAAATTTAAAATAACATGAGGAGAGAAAGTCAAGGAATCAAAACTGTTCAGATATAGTGGCTGACATGGAAATTGTTCTATTGGGATTGAGTTCCGGCTAAATTTATTATAGCTATGTAGAATGCAGGGTATCTTATTAGTGGGGTCGGACATTGACAACTGGGACAGTTTTTCAAGTTTTCTAAGCAGCGGGTGTGCCGAGAAACTAAGAGTTTTAAGGATGAAACGATCGCTAAGAAATTGTCTGCGCAGATATAGGGGAGGATCAACACTTTCTACTTGAAGGGCATTGATCGGGGAGGATCTCATAGCCCCAAGTATAATGCGCAAACATTTTGATTGAATTTTGGACACTTTGTCCAAAGGCAGTTTGTTACAGGGATCTAGAAGAAAGGTGCCGTAGTCCAGATGACTACGTACTATAGCGTTGTATAGCAACTTCTGGGTATAAGAGTGAGCACCCCACCATACCCCGGAAAGGGCTCTTAGAATGTTGACACTCTTTTCGCATTTTTTTATGACATTTTCGAAATGGGGACAGCCAGAAAGGCGGGAGTCCAAAATCACACCTAAAAACTTAACCTGGTTGCATATTGGAATAGGGCTATTTTCAAAAGAAATATTTGGAGATGGAACCATACGTTTTTTAGTGAATACTGTGCAGCAAGATTTTGAAACAGACAGTGATAATCCATGGTCAGATAGCCACTCACTTAGGTACGACATTGCTAGGTTAAGGCGAGACGAAGCTTCAGGAATGTTTTTGCACATAGTGTATAGAGCGACATCATCGGCATATTGGAGAACTTGGCAGAAGGAGTCAACAGTTCTCTCTAGGTCGTAAGTATAGATATTGTACAGCAGGGGACTCAGAACCGAACCTTGGGGGAGGCCCTTCCATAGCATACGCGGAGGGAGAGAAATATCCTGATGTCTAATTTCAATAGTTCTGCAGGATAATGCATTAAAGATGAAACAGGTCAACTTCTCAGGGACACTGAGCTGATGCAATTTATGCCTGAGTACCGGGAGGAGGACATTGTCGTAAGCGGATGCTATGTCAAGGAATATACCCACTAAATACTGCTCCTTCTTAAATGTTATCCGGATATCTGTTGTCAGGATGCTAAGACTGTCCATCGTGCTACTGCCTTTCCTAAAACCATATTGCGATTTAGCTAGAAGGTTTTGGCTTTCTAATAACCATTCCAACCGATTTCTTATCATGTGTTCCATAACCTTGAACAATGTAGAGGATAGAGCAACTGGTCTATAGGAATTAAAGTCCCGCGGATCCTTACGCGGTTTCATTAAAGGTATAACTATTTGTCTCTTCCATATCTCAGGGACTATGCCCTGTTCGAAGAAGTAGTTAACTACCTTTAAGAAGTACTGTTTGGTCTTGTCGGTGGATTTAACCAAGAACGAATAGGGAATACTGTCGGCTCCGGGGGACGAGTCCTTAAGACCGCATAAAGCAGTCTGAAGTTCATCAAAAATAAACGGTTTATCCATTGGATGACTGGAGCGGATACTTAGGTGAGGGCTGACGGGAAGACATTCTCTAGGTGGAACAAAGGGAGGAGCCAATTTGTCTGCAAAAGAGTCCAACCACACTCCAGGGTTATTCGATGTAGGATTGGGACGGTCTGAAGCCCTGCGGAACTTCTTTATTTGCTTCCAAACAATGGTAGATGGGGTGCCAGGCGCCATAGTTTCACAGAACCTTACCCAGCTGTTTTTCTTTTTTTTGGAAAGGAATCTTTTTGTCTGTGCATCTGTCTGTTTGAATTGTAAGTAGTTGTCCATTGTCATACATGAACATATTATTGTTTTGTACTGAGCTGACAACTGACAGTGACTATCTGATAATATAACTATCTGTCACTGTCAGCCACTGTTGCCAGGTCACATTTGTAAAATTACAGTTTTCTGATTAAAAAATTACAACAAAAATACAGTAAATCATTAAGTTAACTATAGAGCTTTTAAAGTAAATAAAAATCCTTATCCTTACTAATATTATTAATGTGAAAGTTTGTATGTATGGATTGATATTTTTTACCTTTTCACGCAAATACTACTAGATAGATTTTAAGAAAACTTTACAATAATGTAGCTTATAGGATAAAAAGATAGATATAACATTGGCTAATACGTATGTAATTTATAAAGGTATTGTGTGAATTGTCCAAAATATTATCATAACTGGGAAATAATTCTGCTATCTACGAGCTATTCTGGTGTTCGCTGCTTAAACCGTTAGAGTTATAAGTATAATTATTATGTATAATAGATATGTTTATCTTAAAAAGTCCTACAGTAAAGCCTAGGACAGTATATAATGTATGTATGTAATGTAGTATGGTTTATATGTAAGCGATTATCGCCAATATAGTGAACCATAAATAGAATAAAAATTTTTACATTATTTCTAATGCATGTTTCGTAGTTACTAATTGATTCTTATCTATTTCTATATTATAATAAATCGCGCATGGGTACTGTGAGTACCCAGTGGTGGCGTTATTTTCATGGTACTATAGTAGCCAATGGCTAGCTCGGTGATAATGTCTGTGGCTGTGTTTGCAATTAAATTCAGTCATCACCACGTAAGTAAATATATACTTAGCTATAACCAAGACCGTTCAGACAAGACGCAAAGTCAAAAAGATAGATTTTTCGTTTTAAAATGTCAGATATAATTTTACAAAATTAATTTAATTTAACGCATAAATATATAATTACGCATAATTTTAGGATACTGGGCCCTAATTTAATGATATCAAAAACTTTCTTGGGCCGGAATGAGTTTTTTTAGTAATACTGAGTAGAGTTTATATAGTCAGTTTTTTTATTAAAATGTTTTTATTTTTTTACTTTTAGTGATTTAATTTTAATACGTAAGTATTATAAAATATGGGTAGAAATTAGAGGTAGGCCAGGATGTTGCACTCACACACACGTTGCTTAAAATTAAGCTGAGTTGAGCAGTTACAGTTCACAAATTACAACGTTGGATAGAGATAGCTGTAGAGATTAAGAGAAAAAATTTCGCCATGGGGCAAGTAGCTTTAAGTCGAGTGAAATCCTAGAATCAATTGCATTGTATAACTTTGAGACAAATAAATTACTCAAAAGGCCGCAAGATGCAGCTTTTGGTAGGAATGTTAAGGTTGCGTGGACTTATTTCATCATCCTTGATGTATGAACTGTACCACAGGTTTTATGCTTCCACAGGCACCAGCGATCCACAACCAAAAATGTTATTTCTTATGATTTAGTTTTGAACTTGGTTTGTTATTTTTGTATGAATCAAGCTCGAATTCTACGTGCTACAACTAGCAAGAAAACCATGCAAATACTATTAACGTTGATAGGAAATGTGGGTTTCTTCATATACTGAATAAGTCTGCGTAACCGAGTGTACGCGTCATGATATGTTATATTGTAATTACGTAAATAATGCATATTTATGCGATGGCAGCAATCGAGGTTCATTTGCTGTTATTTTTTATATTGTTATCTGTCTTCGAAACTCATCATCAGATCTAGATGAATTGGGACATTTTAAGAATAAACCTCTTTCGAGCAAAAAACTAATTTTGCAAATCCGTCTAAACATGACGTTGTTATATTATAAACATCCGAATGGATAAATTGCTTCTTTTTGAAGTTTGTTAAAGAGACATTAAAAAGCGGACTGTGGTAAATTAAGATAAGGTCTACCTTAATGTATCCATATTTCACATTGAAAAAAACCTTTATTTTAATCCAAGATTTCTTTTATTTTAATGCACATGGGAATTGAATTTTATTACATGACATTATTTAAGTTATTGTAACATTCAAAAACTTTTCGAAAGTCTTAATTTATATTAAAAAAAAAACATTAATTTATACACGCCATTTAATCCAATGAAAATAAAATTAACCGTAAATGAAAATAAAAAAATTCTCAAATAACAGGTAAACTGTCCTCTATTTACTCACACACACAGATACATTAGAGGCGTATTTAAAACAATGTGCAGCCCATGCACACTATAGCTCCTAGGACGGAGGGCCGAATGGGTTAACGACTAACGTTCGTCGAACGCGGCACGGCACATGCGTTAACAAACACACTCATGGCTCGGCGCACTTGATGATGAATGCGAGGTATTTTGTTTGGAGTCTACACACGAAACTCCCGTTTACGATTACTAGATCTTTGTTTTGATTGTGAAATTTCTATCCTGACAATTTGTAATGATGCAATTGATTTCATTTGAAATTCCTGATAACGATCACATCGAAAAGTAAACCAAATCCAAGTCTAGAGGCAGAAACGAAAGAATAAGATAATGTCATCACACAATCCGGAACATACAATGTATGTACGTCGTGCAAATACTTGTCCAGGTAGGAATCAAATCCTTGACCCACACGTATAAATAACTAGATAGGCGACTCGATAGGGGTGGGTGAGTTAAACTAGAATAAATTCCCGTTTGTAGAACTCATTGAGTTAGATCGTAAAGTTAAGAACAGTAAGTTAAATGTATTACTTGCGTTAGGCAAACTCAAAAGTTATATTGAATGTAATGATATAATAGTCATGCGGGTAGTCGCAGCCGAATTAGGTTAATAAAAGAAAAATTATAAATTACTAATGGCTTTTTTTAAAGTGCATAAAAAGGAACGTTTTCTTTAAATTTAATTAATAAATGAGGAAATACTATCTAGATAGTATTCAGAGAGAGATATTTGGTGTCAGTTTTGTCATTCGTAAATAAAAAAATGACTTGTTATAATTAAATTTCAGGGGTTTCAATAGTATCTCCGAAGCTCGAGATCCAATACCAACGAAATTAATATGGGACCAAATGGGAAGCACCGGCTTAAAATAAAAAACTTAAGATAAAAATCTTTCACTGTTGCACGAATGGGCAGGTCCGTCCGGGTGAGTACCTCAAAGAAGACCGGCGTAAAGTAAATATTTTTAAATATTTTTTTTAATAATATTTTAGTAATAGGTAGCCGGGGTGCATCTTATTAAAACGTGGCAACGCATATGCAACCCTACGGGTGTTGCAAATGTCTATGGGCGGCGGTTATATCTTTACATCAAGGTACACCTGCTTGTTTGCCATCTTCAAACATAATAAATATAACTTAGTCACTTGGAAAGGAATAATTAGGGGTAAATAAATAAATAATTTTTAATATACATGGGGTTTTATAAGAAAGTGACAGTATTGTAATATTGTGAATCACAACGTGGGCCAAGAAAAAATGATTTGTTGATGAAAATTTGAATGTCATTATATAATAAAATATGAAGGAGGCATAACATAGCTCCGCTCAGATGTAATTATTTTTTTCTATGGGTAATATAAAAAAGTATATACGCAGTTCAAGAATCATTACATCTAAACGAAGTAGGTACGCGGAAATGGCTAGTGATCTATAACTACTTCACAGTTTATTGCGAACTGTGTTATGGGTCCTTTAACCATATACAGACTGCCATAGGAGTTCTTTAAGTTTTTATTAAGAAAACAGGCTTGATCGTACATGACTTGTTCTTTAATGATCGAGCGGCGAGACAGGCGATTAGCAACTTTATTATGTTAAATTGTTTACCACTACAACACTGTGAAATATTAAATAAGGCTAAAGTCAGTTGTAGGCAATTGTAGGACGAGTGTTTTATCTAAAGATCTCTAACAAAAGGCATAATTTGCAAAACCATTCAGTGTCAATCTTTTTTTTTTAATATAAAAATTGAGTATATGTGCCCCCCCTCCCCCCTGATATGTGGCCGCCCTAGACCCGGGCCTTTTGGGTCTTAGGGCAAAACAGCCACTGTTTAATCAACAAAATCTTAATAGAAATATCACTCCAAAGACTTCGTTTCATATTCCCACAGATAAATTTAAAATTTGATGAGAATTACAGATTCATCTAATTACTCGGAGTGTGATGTGGTAAAAGACGTACACCATGTGTTAACGGAGTGTGTTTGGAACGAGACTTTACGACAAGATATGATATTTATGTATAATCATAATTTTGGTAATGTAGTTTTTACGGTGGTAGGGCCACGCAGCAGCCTCGGCTGTTGCACGAATGGACGGGCACGTCCGGGTAAGCACCACGACCTCACAGAAGACCAGCGTAAAGTGGAAGTATGATAAATACTTTCGCATTTCGTCTGGTGAGTGAGGTAGCCAGAGCCGAATTTTCAAAAGGTTGTCAACGGATCTTTAACTCTCGGGTGTACCAGCAGATGTCCATGGGCTGCGGTATTCATTTAACATCAGGTGAACCGTCTGCTCGTTTGACAACTTTTTGCATAAAAAAAGTAATCTGTAATGGCATTCTGGCGTCTCCGATATCTGAAGAGACCAGAATGCTAATTAAATTGTATTTACGGGTAGCCTGAGTGTTTCGGGGTGCACCAATGTCTTCATTGGGGGGATAGTGCAGGCCGGGACATGAATAAAATTTCGTTATTACTATTATGTACTAGTAGGCTAAGTCAATAGGTTCTATTGGGATTATTAAATGCGGATGTTTTTTTTTAGGTGTCATAGTCACTGTGTGACAAAACCCCTTTTTAAAAATAAAGATAAAAAAGACTTGTTTTTTATGAAAACGCACTTTTGTACTTTACCTCCTTATAATTAAACTTAAAGGAAGGTAAAGTAAACAAAAAAGTTATAAAAATGAAAACAAATAATTTGGTAATGCGTTGTATGTATGTATTGTACCTACGAAGCGTCAAAAAAGTGTTATAAAATAATTTGTGCGTAGCAATATCCTTGTAATGCGAGTTTATCACTATCGCAGGTCATTTTATCAACGTTTTGCACTTGAATACGATTTTTTGGTTTCGCTATTATCTTCACTTTTAAAAAATTGTGTATAAAATTTAAGCGGTAGTTATTCGAGAAGTTACTGCCAAACCTACATTTACGGGTCCTTTTAGTTGGAAAGTGAGGTGTCAGCACTGAGAAAAATAATATTACAATATGATAATAATAATAATTTGCCAGCCATTCGTCGGGCGTGGACAAAGCACGCGCTTTTTAATGGATGTCTTGCCAGTCCACGGAAGCGTGGCAAGTGCGCAGCCTCCGCAACTACTTTTTAGCGAGATCGGATGAGTAACTCTTCATGGGTGTCATCAGCTGTAATAAAAGGCTAAACCCATCCTAGGCTAACGAGCAGTTGCAGGAACTGGGAGGGCAAAGCGCTTCCGACCAGGAGATGGTACGGAAGAAAATGAGTTCCACGGGAGATTTTAAAAGGGCTTATTGTAAAAAGATATTTTATATGTTTTGGTTCTCGTGTGGTATGGTTTGCCTGATGAGAATCCAACTTATATCCTATAATAATAAAAACCTGGCTCACGAGGTGACCGACATGTGTGGTGTCGACCGAAATTATCCCGATAGTCTTTTCTGCGAATAGGTTAATCCTAGTCAGCTTCTCCGAACATCTGAGGCGACTGGGACTCCTATAGGGACGGACCGCTATAAGCTCAAATGTAGAAAGAAGGTGCTCCTCGATACCGCCCGTATCGCCGGCTGGTTTCTCTCTCTTTCGCCCTAACCCACGGCCGTTTGGTCCTCCCTGCCGAGGGCTTACGTCTGGTTGGGTCCTATTTATTTAGATGTATATTTTTATTTATAAACCCAACCAGACGAGAAAACAAATATATATAAAAAACATAATAATAATAAAGGGGTTTAGAGGAAAAGTCAGAGCTGTAAAGAGCAATTTTTGATTGACACTGTAATCATGAACAAGCGCACACTAAGTCTAGGAACATTCATATCTTTTATGTACATACATTATAAAAGCGTTTGATTCAGTACTGCAAAATTATAAAATAAATCGAAATATGTCTATCTAATGTAGGATCACGTCTTTATTGCGTTTACTTAATGCAAAAGGGATTGATGAAAAGAAATATGATAATAGGTTAAAAGTGAGGTACAATAAGTCAAAGAATAAAAAACTCAATTTTGAACAACAATAGCCAAATACATACCTATCAGCGCTACTTATTCACACACTCGATAATGTATCTTATTAATGTACATTATAATTCATCAAATCAATAAAAATATCAGATTGATAAACGTAAATGCCACTTAGGCGAAATATAGGTATAATATACGAAAAAGGACTTTATAACTAAACTAACACTTATTATTCTGCTCTATGCTTCAATTTATTAATTTTTTTTATCGTAAAAATTGTTTTCTTTAAATTCGTAATGATGATCGTCGACATTTTTTTCTTACTCTGTTTTATTATTATCATAAATGTTTTAGTAGACGTAACATACCATGTTAATAAAAAAATAAACAAAATACAAAATGTTATTCAAAATGTAACCCGCTCATAAAGCATACTACAACAAATCATATATATTGAAACACCACCTAGAGTTTCGTGATTGCAACATTTGAATAAAAACCGTGTGGCATCTATTTACACTTTATGATTATTTCGGAAATTTAAGAACTTTTAGATTCCGGAATATAAAAGGTTGGCGAATAAGTGATTGCGGATTTCAGTTATAGATGTTTCTCACTCGCCGCACTCACACACTGAATATTAATATGGAGTGCAAAAACAAACATTTTCACCACGTTTTGCTTTATTTCCAAATCGAAGTTGTTAATTATTGGGAATTCGTCATCATAACATAATCTAACAAAGATAATGCATATAAATGCGAGATAATAACACTTGTATATATATATATATATTGAGCTAGTCATTGTTTTGACATAAAAGATTTGTGTCGTGTACGTGCAGTTTAAAAATGGCGCCAAAGATCAAATATACAAAGGTATGATTCTTTCAAAATATCTTTTGAAACATAGAATTTTTGTCTCAAAAACAATCTGTCCAGCAGCCATCAAGGTCTATGAATATTATTAATTGGTGAAAGAAAACTATACCCGTTCTCAATAGTAGTCTCTTTTCGTATTAAATATTTTCATTATTTTTACGATATACAATATCTAGAATGGTTAGAAAAACTTGATTTAATTACATTATATTCCATTTTCTTTTTGCTATCTATTATGCTTATGTAGGCTTATATAGCTTATTTAGGCTCATCGGAGTAAATATTGATTTTATTCTATTATTTATTTAAAAAAAATATCTATGATTATTTTGGACCAGTTTTTTCTTTTTATTTAGTTTTTTGAGAAGCGGTATAAATTAAAGGCATCCAATATGCATTCATAAGTAAAAAAAAGGTTTTCGTTGGGTTAACCATTCGCAAATATGTAAAATTGATGACTGGTTATATATATTGATATACGATGTAAATAACAATTGATAAATGTATGTGTTATTTAAGTATTTGAGTACCAACCATATCTCAACCTTAGTTTATTTTATCTTTCACGGCGTCTAACTAAATCGTAAATCGGGGGTAAACAGGACAATGACTTGTTCTGCCTTAAAAATGTCCATATATTTCATAATTTGGAGCTCTTATTAGGTAATTGAAACTTGAGCTTATAGTTTAGAATCAGTTAAACCGAATAATGTATGACTTTTCAACTTTTACTTTAGTAAAGTATCTATACTCAGATGAATAGTATGCATACTCAGATGATTATTTAGGTTATTATATCACCGCACAATTGAATCACTTACAAGCAGTTTTATTCACATTATTCGACAGGGAAATATAATCATTTATTGAAATAAATCATAAGTGGAAACGGCCATAATGTCAGAAAAAACAGTAAAGTTATTGGAATTTTACTCTAAGGAATGTGAAGAAAGTCCATAACTTTGCGTTCCCTAGTCGATTTTACTTACGGTATTTACAATCACAAATCTTAAAACTTTAAGATATCTTGAAATGATTGTTGCAATGAATGTCGAAAATACTTCAATATAGCAATATTTAAATATTGCCAACTTTCCAATAAAAATTAATATTTTCAATATACATAATATGATAAAATATACAATTGCGTAATTTAGTAATTTTTATTAACTATAGCATCTAAAATTACGTCAAAACACTCACAGCCGGTTTCTGAAATACTGATCATCATAGATGTCAACTAATCAGCCGTCAAATGGCTTTTCAAATTTCATTTTAGTTGCCAAAAGGACGGTTAAACTCTCTGAATTGAACAGAATGATCTTCTAATGATCAGAACGATCAATCCAAAGAGTTTAACCATCCTTTTGGCAACCAAAATGAAATTTGAAAACCATTTGACAGCTGATTAGTTGACATCTACGATGATCAGTGTTTCAGAAACCAGCCGTTAGTGTGTTGTAAATAATTTACAATGGTAATTGTGCTATATACAAGAGTAAGAATTGTTACAGAGAATACGGGTTATTTTACAATCTGCAAAATGTGTAGGGAATATCGCCTTTAATCAGTGATTTTAATTTATATTCAGTTACGACATGATTGAAATATTATACGAAATACGCAGACTGACAGAGATATTATCTTTGCGCACGTTTCAAAAACATCCCCATAAAAATGTCTAAAGTATAACAATATCATAGAGTGTTAAACCCACTTTAAATTCAATGTCACACGACATCATGCTTCATACAAAAAAATGAATATAGTTATCTTGTGTTTATTTCGTGAGATAAACATTGACCTTTTCAGATGTGTCGATAAATATTGAATGTATATTACAATCAAGGAGAGAGAGAGAGTATATAATTGTAAATATCACAATTTTTATCACTATTTTGTAATTAAAAATAGTAATACTTTTAACTAGAATATATTTTCATATTAAATTCTGGCGAACGAGCAGGCGGATCTGATGTTCAGTGATTACCGCAGCCCACGTACATAAATATCACCCGGAAGTAGGCCCGGCTACCTTACTCACCATACTAAAACGCGAAAGCATAATATTTAACGGTGGTAGAGCCACGCAGCAGCCCCGGCTGTTGCACGTAAGGGCGGGCTCATCCGGGTAAGTACCACGACCTCACAGAAGACCGGCGTAAAGTGGAAGTATGGCAAATACTTTCGCGTTTCGTCGGGTGAGTGAGGTAGCCGGAGCTCAATTTCCAGAAAGGTTGTCAACGCATCTGCATACCCTCGGGTGTAGCAGATGTCTATGAGCAGCGGTATTCACTTTACATCAGGTGAACCGTCTTCTCGTTTGGCAATTTTTCCCATAAAAATAATAATACTTCTACTTCTAGCTGGTATTCTGTGAAGCCTTGGTTCTTTCTCGGGCGAGCAGCATTCGTTCAGCAGCCGAAGCTGCTGCGTGGTCAAACCAAAGATATTGATTTTTAATTTTTCGGCTTTATTAAATTTTATAAAATATTTGTACCTCAAATCTTTATTTTTAATAATATGTTTATCCTTGTTCAGCTCTTTATCGACAACAAATGGGTGGATGCCGCAAGTGGAAAAACTTTCGATACATACAACCCTCACGATGGCTCTGTCATCGCACAAGTTGCTGAAGGTGATAAGGTATAAAGGTTTATAATTGCATTTTGTAATTGCAGTTTTTACTGTATCCAAATGTGAGTTTAGTCGATAATTTAATGTAGATTGAAAGAATGTGATTGGGCGCACAGCTTTTGGTTAGAGTATCTGATCGCAATCTGAACTCAGAAGACGCAGGTGTGAAACCTAGCAGTACTGAAAAAATAATTCTTGACGATTCATCTATTAATTTAACATTTTAATAAGACGTCAGTACAGACTAATATTAAAAATAAAAGAAAAAGTATTTGGAAAATCCAGGTCAAGTTCATATTTCACACTACTTATTTAATTTTTTTCATTAGGTATATTTGTATTATTTTGACAATTTTTATAAAATTTAGAGCAAGTGTAAGTTAAAGTGGAAATAACGAACGTTTTCTTTTACAAAATAAATACGGGTATTAAATAGGTGAAGTTATTCTGAAGATAATAAACAAAACCCAGTGACAACCCGAAACAAAAAGTGATTATATTTTCCAGGAAAAAAATGTTTTTGCTAAATGATTTAATTAACGGCTAATACAAAATCGTGTGTTCGCAGGAATAAATTTGTTATTTTCTGGTATGATATTTTATAATTTTTAAAAAACACTGACCTGTCCAATGCCAGCGGAACAGATTTTGAAATTGTAGGCGCAGAGTACATCTTGCACTATTATTCTTTTGGGGAAGTGTGTCGCTATTAGACTTACTGTTTTCAGTTGAAATGATTAAATTCACATTGTATTAAAAGAAATTCTTTAAATGAAAACAAATAAACAAACAAGAACTAGGTATTTTTAAACAATTTCGCCGATAGTGATGGTGATGTGACCACATAAGTGTTTTATTTTACGCATTACAGTAAAGATTGGAAATAGAGTATTTTCACATACTTTATTTGTATACTTTTATGAAGTATATTTGGCAAAAATAAAGTTATATACGTTATTGTAAAGTATGGTTGGTAACCCTACACACACCCTCAACCGGTTCGCGGTGTGAGGCGTGCAAAATAATTATAAAGGTCATCAAGATCATCATTAGTCCTTCAAGTAATATACAGCGTGTCGTTACCATCGCGACAAAAAATTAACATACATATATGGGATAACTTTTTAAAGTTGTTTAAACATCAATATTTACAGAGTTATTAAATTTTCAAAAACAAAGAATTTTAGAACACCCTTACCTATAAAAGCTTAGCGTAAAGTTCATTTGTAAAGGTCACAAAGCATATGAATGGGTTGAATGAATTTAAAAGAGACAAAACATACTGTTAGAAGGAGAGGCTTGTAATACGACGCTGTGCCGCGAGTTGTATAGGGGTGTTACAAATTTTGTTTCTTTTTACTTAATTAGTTTGTTTGAAAAATATTTTTTTTAATTATGGATTTTGTTTAACGTTAATATTTTTTTATGATTATTGGCAAGTAGCGTTAGACGTGTGTTCAATCAAAAAAAATATTAACGTTAAACACAATCCATAATTAAAAAAAATATATTTTTCAAACAAAGTGTTCGCGCCTAACGTATTTTAATAGCAACGCTTAGATCATGTGTTAAATTGCTTTTAACAATGTACTGTAATTATGACATTCAATTTACCTACATCGATTGTCGGGTTGACGGTTGTTAAGATGTTCAGTCGTGCAAAGGGTTCCAAATTAAAATCAATTCAAGACATTAATTCAAGGCCTTTCATTGTGTCCATACGAGACATAAAGTGGCGACCGTGACAGGACATATAATAATTACAAGGAAAACAAGGAATAAGAGTTTTAAGAACAATAACTCCATCGTCAACGTCACCAGTTTGAATTTTTTCACCGCAATTTCGACGAGTTTGACGATCCAACGCCTACACTATAGAGTATTGAGTACCAGCCAATGCAGCCAAGCCGGACAGTGACGAGGAATAATATTTTATCAAGTAGTACCACTCCGCAGCCAGGCCATTGCAGCTAAGTGCCCTTCCTTTCAATTTCCTCCTAATATTCCCTAAATACATACCAAATACTACTTCACTTGAGTAAATAAGGTATAATATACTCAAGCAGTTGTCTATTTTCCAAAATACTACGTAAATATAGCCGATTTATCAATTTTAAAATCAATTTCATTCTTATGTGGTTCTACCCACATACACATAAATTATCTTCGCAACACAGTTGTTTATTATAATATCCCGAATTCATAGTTATTTCATCGTAGTTATAGTTATTATCGTATTATCTACATGTTTTCACGTATATAATTAGACACAGGGCCGTTTTAAGCAAGTACCTATTAAAATTTAGCTAATTAGTTCCTACCTACCCTCATTAAAATCTTACTAGCATTTCCCAATTATTCATTTACATTCATCATAATTAAAATAACAATAATTTGCCCGATATAAACGCAACGTTTGCCGAACGATTCCAGGATCGCCGGTGCCCGGCGCGCGGTGTTGATAACAAAACAACCGTTATCTTTACCAACGAGAGGTGAGCGCGACAAGCGGTTCCACCCGGCTCTGCCTACCAATTGTGCCTATTTGAGGAGCGTGAGAATTTTTAATTTTCTTTAATTACATATTTAGTTTTCATTTCTCGATAATTACTAGATATTTACACCTACCTACTTATACATTGATCATTTAATTTATTTAAAATCAACACATAACAATATTTCTTTTTTTTTATTCCATTAAACTATACAATAATGGCTAAATATACGGGTAATGGAAGCGAAATGAAAGGTGAAAATTCATCGACTTTGCAAGCGCTTCTTATAAGGCGCAGTTCTATTAAAGGTCAAATCACTAAATTTAAAAATTATTTATCCTTTATATCTTCGAAACCAACATTAAATCAAATTGAGTTAGCTGAATTAAACTTGAAATTAAGTAAGTTTGAAGCCTTATCTCACAAATTCGATGACTTGCAAGGTCAAATAGAGGTTTTGAACTCGGTAATTTGTCAATTGAAATTGACGAGAGGGATGACATTGAGCAGATGTTTATTGTTAACATAGCATTCGCTCAGAGTATGATACAGAAAAATAACTTAACCTTAAGATCCGAAGAATTGAACAAAGATCTTAATACTTCTTTTATCTCGTCTCAATGTTGTCCCAATCATAAAGAGTTAACTTTTAAATTACCTCAAATCCAGATTGCTAAATTCGATGGCACCTACTTTCGATGGCTTGAGTTTCGCGACACTTATCTGTTATTAATACATAATAATGAACGCATTTTGCCGATACACAAATTTCATTATCTTACCACCTATTTAGAGGGAGATGCCGCTAGAATAATATCTAATTTAGAGGTGTCTAGTGCTAACTATGAGACAGCCTGGTCATTACTATGCGAACGTTATGACAACAAACGTCAATTAATCAACTATCACTTAAATTCTTTGCTTAATGTGAATACATTTACTCGCGAGTCTGAACGATCATTAAGGTTCCTGGTTGATCATGTAACGAAAAACTTGCGTGCATTATCTAGTCTAGATCAACCCACTGACCAATGGGACATATTAATTATTCACATTATGTGCACTAAGCTTGATAGTCGGACCCTAGCGAAATGGGAGCAATATCGCAATGGTTTGGAAGGCATTCCTAATTTAAAACAATTTTATAAATTTTTAATTAATCGTGCAGACGTGTTAGAAACATTAAATCGAAATAAATCTGACATACAATTCAACCCATAAAACCTAACCGTTTACAAACCAAATCATTTGCGTGTTCTTCTCGTGATAGCTCAGTCCCTTATTTAGTAAAATGTGTCATTTGTAATGGAGAACATAGAATTTATGACTGCCCAGTTTTTAAAGCCAAAAGCGTAGAAGATAGAAAATCTGAAGTAACAAGATTAAAATTATGTGTCAACTGTCTCCGCCAGGGTCACGCCGTCCGCGAGTGTCGGTTAGGACCTTGCCGTGAATGTAAGCGGAGGCACAACAGTTTACTCCATATTCCGACCAGTCTCTCTATTACAAGTGATACCCCTCCACAAGAATCTGTATCCAATTTTTCGAAACAACATTGCAATTCAGTAATATTATACACCGCTATCATTGACATTTGCAACCCTGATACAAATAAGACTGAGACAGTTCGTACACTCCTAGATTGTGGAAGTCAGTCTTCCTTTATTACAAAGTCTCTTCTATTAAAAGACTTCAAGCTAGCTGATCCTAATTTTAATAAACCGGCAGCAATTGATATTCTGCTCGGTGCAGATATATTCTGGGACATTCTTGGCTGTGAGTAGAGTGCTCTTGGCCCTAAATTTCCTAAATTAAGAAGTTCCCAGTTTGGTTGGCTCATAGCTGGCCCTATGCATACAGCACATATACAATCTTTAAATATTCAATGTCATCATGCCATTACTAATCCCTATTCTCATGAAATTTTAAATAAACAAATTGCTAAGTTCTGGGAGCTAGAAGAGCTTCTACCAAAGGTTTCTTTAAGCGAAAGCGAGCAAGAGTGTGAGAACCATTTTAAAACTCACACCACTCGTTTACCTTCAGGCAGGTTTTGCGTTAGACTACCCCTGAAAGATTCACCAGATTGTTTGGGTGAGTCCTATAATCTCGCTAAGAAACGACTGCTTACTTTAGAAAAGCGTTTTCATAAGCAGCCCAATGTTAAATTACAATACGTAGAGTTCCTTCGTGAATATGCTAATTTAAATCATCTTTCTGAATCATCTATCATGAAACCTGTACCTTCTTATTTCTTGTGTCACCACGCTGTATTCAAAGACAGTAGTGAGACTACAAAAATTCGCGTGGTGTTTGATGGGTCCGCTCCTACCACACCTGGTTTATCCGTTAATGATATCCTTATGATAGGCCCAAATATGCAGGACTCTCTTTTCTCCATACTCATCAGGTCTCGTCAGTACAAATATGTGCTCACTGGCGATGTTGAAAAAATGTACCGCCAGGTGAAATTACATGAAGATGACCAAAATCTCCAAATGATTTTATGGAGAGAAGATGAGTCCATGCCTATCAAAACGATAAAGCTAAGGTACTGTAACTTACGGACTTGCAAGTTCCAGTTACTTGAGTACGAGATGCCTTTGGCAATTAGGTGAGGAGTGCGATGACCAACTGATCAAAAATATTATGCAGCATGATTTCTATGTCGATGACGTCTATACAGGGTGTGATTCAGAGCAAGAATTATTTCACACATATAAATCATTATTACAAGTCTTAAAAGGGGGTTGTTTCAATCTACGTAAGTTTAAAACAAACTTACCTTCCCTAATTCATTCTTCTAAATCAGACAATACTGATAAACTAATCACAAGCGAGTCTTCCAGTACCCTAGGCATGGGCTGGAACCCAAATTCAGACAACATACATTTTACATTTAATATTCCTCAAGAAAATGTCGCTTTAACCAAAAGATATATTTTATCCACTTCATTCAAAATCTTCGATCCCCTGGGATTGCTGAGTCCATGCATTATTTTGCCTAAAATGCTAATGCAAAAACTATGGTTACAAAACCTTGATTGGGACGAACCTGTTTCCCAAAGTATTTCAGTTTCTTGGAATAAGTTCGTAACCACACTGCCATCCATCCTAAATTTACAAGTACCTAGACTAGTTTTATGCAAGGATCCCGTGTTAATTGAGCTGCATTCTTTTAGTGATGCTTCGCAGACTGCTTATGGCGCTTGTGTTTACGCGAGGAGCATAGATGCTGATAACCGTGTCACTGTCAAACTACTTTGTGCGAAGTCAAAAGTAGCACCTATAAAGGTTACCACCATCCCTCGGCTTGAACTCTGCGCAGCGTTACTAGCCGCCAGACTTTGTAGTACTATTTTAGACTCTTCACGTAATAAATCAATAAATTTTTATCACTGGTGCGACTCCAGCGTAGTTTTAGGATGGTTAAAATCTAATTGTCGTAATTTGAAAACATTTGTCGCTAACAGAGTTGCTGAGATATGTGAATATAACTAATTCTAGCTCATGGCGTTCTGTGCCCACTTCCTTAAATCCAGCCGATCTCATATCAAGGGGCGTGTACCCAGATCAAATTGAGCATATGGACTCGTGGTGGTGTGGCCCTGATTTTCTGTTGCTACCCGAAAGTGAATGGCCCGTTTTAAATTCGGGAATAATTTTTGAGCTTCCTGAACTTAAATCAAACATTGCTACTACTAATTTTGAACCATTCATAAATTTTTCAAATTATTCGAATTTTATTAAATTAAAGAGGTCATTTGCATACGTTTTAAGATTTATTAACAATTTAAAGAAAACTAACACCAAACTACTATCAATATTAACTATCGACGAATTAAATAATACTTTTTTACATCTTTGTATTTTATCTCAAAGACAAACATTTCCTATTGAATATGATTTATTGTCAAACGGTAAATCATTAAGTCCGAAGTCAAATATATTATCATTAAGTCCGTTTTTTGATAATAAGTGCAAAGCGATTCGTTTCGGTGGTCGTATCGATGCATCCAATTTTAATTACGATAAGAAACATCCTATTCTTTAAATTCATCTAGTCATTTTACACGCTTGTTTTTTGAATACATGCACAAACGTCACTTGCACGCCGGTCCCCAACTGCTACTGTCGCTAGTACGTGAAACCATATGGCCTATAAATGGTAGACATATTGCCCGCCGTACGGTATTCAATTGTGTAGTATGCAGGCGTCATCAGGGTAGAACTATACACCCTATGATGGGAAATTTACCTAACCAACGCGTCACTGTAGATTTTCCATTCAATACTGTAGGTATAGACTTTGCTGGTCCATTTTATATAATAAACCGTAAGGGCCGTGGAGCAAAGGTAATTAAATGTTATCTTTGTTTGTTCGTGTGTTTAAGATACAAATGTATTCATTCGGAAGCTACTAGCGATCTTACAAAAGATGCCTTCATTATGACGTTTCGTCGTTTTGTAGCTCGCCGCGGCAAGCCATCGGAAGTATTTTGCGACAACGGACGCAATTTCGTTGCTGCGGCCAAAGAATTTAGTGACTTCATCAAAGCGACTAAAACTCCCTATCTGACTTTGCAAGTGAGGAAGGTGTCAAATTCATTTTTTCCCCTTCTTACGCTCCTCATTTCGGTGGGATATGGGAGGCTGGCGTAAAGTCCGCGAAACACCATATTAAGCGCGTAATGGGCAACAGTCACTTAACGTTTGAGGAGTTGACTACGTTATTTGTTCAAGTGGAGGCTATCCTTAATAGCCGCCCTATGTGTCCTTTATCTTCTTCTCCCAACGATTTATCAGCCCTTACCCCAGGGCACTTTTTAATCGGCCGATCATTGACTGCATTGCCGGCTCCACCAGTCACCGAGTACAATCCAAACAATTTACACCGCTACGCCCATCTTGAACAAATACGTCAACATTTCTGGCTTCGCCGGCAGAGAGAATATGTAGCAGAGCCGCAACATCGAACCAAATGGAAGACCAACACCTCTAATCTCAAACTTGGTGATCTAGTTTTGCTTTCCGAAGACAATATTCCTCCATTATGCTGGCGTCTCGGTCGAGTCGAGAAGCTATACCCTGGACCAGACAATATAGCTCGAGTCGCCGACGTGAGAACTGCAAAGGGATGTCTACGTTGACCTTTGACTCGCCTCTGCCCCGTACCTACATTTGAAGAACCAGATAATTGAAGATCTTCTGCTGCAGATCTTCAACGGGGGGAGGATGTTCGCGCCTAACGTATTTTAATAGCAACGCTTAGATCATGTGTTAAATTGCTTTTAACAATGTACTGTAATTATGACATTCAATTTACCTACATCGATTGTCCGGTTGACAGTTGTTAAGACGTTCAGTCGTGCAATTCAATTCAAGACATTAAAAGGCCTTTCATTGTGTCCATACGAGACACAAAGTAATTAAGTAAAAAAGAAACAAAATTTGTAACATCCTATACAACTACAACTGACTGATTCATACATTCAGAGACTTTTTCATTCGTTGCCACAGCGTCCCATTACAAGCCTCTCCTACTAACAGTATGTTTTGTCTCTTTTAAATTCATTCAACCCATTCATATGCTTTGTGACCTTTACAAATGGACTTTACGTTACAGTTTTATACGTAAGGATGTTCTAAAATTCTTTGTTTTGGAATATTTAAAAACTGGTATAACCAAAATAGCTTATTCAATTCTAACAAAAATTCATACACTTTAAAGCAGCAAAAAATATATGTTAAGCTTGATCTTAAAGAGCAGTGATAGCTCAGTATCCAGGCGGTCGCCTTTCATTCAATATACTCGAGCAACCTGAGTTCGATCCCCGGTGCCGGCACCAATGAAATTGTCAATTTTAAGTGCCGAATTATCACGTGCTCAACGGTGACGGAAAACATCGTGAGGAAACCTACATATTTTCGAAATAATGACAAAAAAAATATTTCGAAGATATGTGAAGTCCGCCAATGAGGCCTCGTGGTGGAATATGCCCTGATACCCTCTGTGCAGACAAGGCCTTTGCCCACAGAAAAATGATGAAATAAACCTTAGAATTGACATTACATAAAACAAATCTTATAAAACTACTGTCAGTGACGTAAAATATTTTAGTACCGGGACTGCTGATTTCATTTGTCTATTGAAGTAACACTTATTAAATAAGAAAAATTAAATATTTATTTTTCTAGGCACTTTTTAGTAAAATATTTTCGATTACTAAGTTCACAAATGTTGTTTTTGCAAGGCCGACATCAATTTAGCAGTCCAAGCAGCGAAGCGCGCCTTCCATCGTAATTCTGAATGGCGGCTGATGGATGCAGCGCAACGTAGAACCCTTCTTCACAAATTCGGAGACCTGATCGAGAGGGACTTAGAGTATTTGGCTGAGCTGGAGTCGTATAACAATGGAATGGTACTTAATGACGCGCGCCGATTCTTGAACACAGCTGTTGAGAGCACACGATATTTAGCTAGCTTGGCTGACAAAATACAGGGTGACACCATTCCATTAAGTAAGTTATAACTGATTAAATTATCAGAACTGAAAAATGATGATTTGGGATATTAAAACAGTATACGAATATTCTTGCAGACAAAATTTAGGGTGACACCACCATACCCTTAATTAGTAATTCTTAACTGATAAAATGGTCAGAACTGAAAGATAATGGTTTGCGCAGAGAAATTTTCACCTATTGCCTTTTAATAGGTAGGTTTGCGGAGTTATCACTTTTAGAATAAAATTTTGTATAATTTATATGACTATGATTTCTTTGCAACGATATTTGCCTCTACTGATAGTGCTGAATTTAAAATAAAACATAATTGTATTAGCTGATAATTCGGTTGGGTTTGTTGTCTTTGTTGCGGATCCTGTCACGCCGAAATACCGAGCATAGCCCTTCTCTTGACCCGCTGAGTGATTTTAAACTTATTTATATGTCCTGCAGTGAGGGAACAATCATACTAATGTACAAAATGTACAATATTTCTGTATTCGTAATATAGTTTGTAACAATATATAATTTTCTGTTTCTATGCAGGTGGTGAAGTGTTCTCCTACACATTGAAACAGCCAGTCGGAGTGTGTGGTTTAATTTTGCCCTGGAATGTGCCAATATTGATGTTTATCAGCAAAGTAGTAACTGCTCTAGCTGCGGGTATATATTTATATATATAATCATTGGACTGGCTCGAATGGATAATATATTTGTTTCCACTGCGCGAAACCTAAATTTACTTAACTGTAAGATCGCATTTAAGAAATAATAACATATATTTTAGGGTGTACAGTCATTGTTAAGCCAGCGGAGCAGACACCATTGACAGCGTTAGTTTTGGCTGCCTTGTTACAAGAGGCAGGTGTACCGGCGGGTGTTGTTAATGTTGTCAATGGTTTCGGTGTTGGCGCAGGCACCACGCTCACTCATCACCCAGATGTGGCAAAGATTTCCTTCACTGGTTCGCTTGAAGTAAGTTAGCAGCATTAAGTTTCGTTAACCACAATTACCAGCAAATATGTATAGTGTCTAGAAATTGAATGCTAAGTCAATTAATTTAATTATTGTGAAGAAATTTGCTGAAATCTTATTTATTTGGACTTTCTCACTAAACGATTTTATCTGTTTTTCCTAGGTAGGCAAACTCATACAACAAGCTGCTGGCGCCAATAATCTGAAACGGGTGACGCTAGAGCTTGGTGGCAAGAGTCCTCTTATCATCATGAACGATGCGGACTGTGAGTTTTTCTAGTGACTTGTAATGATCGTTTACGGCATGTAACATTTATCATTTCTGTGTTAATATTTCAGTTGTTTGAGGTGGTATAATATCTTTCTTTTATATTCAGTGAACGTGGCAATACCAACAGCAGCGTTCGGTGTTTTCTTACATCAAGGACAAATTTGCATTGCCGCATCGCGTTTGTATGTACAGTCAGGAATTTACGATAAATTTGTACAAGGAGCAGTCAAATTCGTCAAAGAGAGAATAGTCGGAAACCCGACTGATAGTTCGACGCAACAGGGGCCTCAGGTATAAAGACGGATTTTTTTTGAGCATCCTTATATATACTTGCCACACATTGATCTATATTACAATTATTACCATTTCAGATTGATGGCGAAATGATGAATAAGGTATTGGGTTACATCGAGAAAGGCAAAAAGGAGGGCGCAAAGTTGTTAACAGGCGGGAATCGGATCGGTACCACTGGCTTCTACATTGAGCCTACAGTCTTCGCAGATGTCACTGACGATATGACAATCGCCAAAGAAGAGGTAAATAAACGTTTACAAATATATCTCACACGCTTACTATAATTTTTATTGAAAACAATGTTTGAATTGGAAATATTTTTTTTATCTATTATTTTATTTTGTCGAAAAATATTAAAAATACCAAATGCATCCAGGATACGCACGCTGAAAGTTCAAAAAGCCAATATCTAAACATTGTAACATTGCTTCTGTACTCTATGTACCCAAGGAAACCCATTTTTTTGTTAGTTAACTTCTAGTGGAAAATTTCAAGCATTTAGACAGCTTAGATAACCTTCCCTCTTAAGTATAGGAAATATCCGAATTGTTATTTTTTAATAAATAAATTTTACCTATTCCTTAGTATGTTATCGACTATTAATTTAGTATACATATATAATTGTACATATAGGAGTATATTGTAATATGAAACTTTAAATTGAATAATGAAACTTTAAATTAGAATTATTTAATTAGTTTATTTTTTTTTAGATATTTGGCCCTGTGCAAAGTATTATTAAATTTGAAACATTAGAAGAGGTTATTGACCGGGCCAATAATACAAACTATGGCCTTTCCGCTGGTATTTTCACGAGTGATCTTAACAATGCGCTTCAGTTCAGTAAACATGTTGAGGCAGGCACAGTATGGTAAGTCAATTTTAATTTTTTTTTCGTTTCCTTTTGTAGACATATTATTCACAATACAGTGTCATATTTCTCACTTCACATTTCTTTTTCCTATATAAATATGATACCTACACGAAGATTGACGATACGATTTTTTCTAGCCTAAATTATACGTACTTATTTTTATTAATTAATTTTATTTTCAGGGTGAACACATATTTCGTATTTAGTTCTCAGGCTCCATTTGGTGGTTTTAAAGACTCAGGCCTTGGACGAGAGAAGTAAGTTTTAGTTTCCATTACTTAAATAGAATAAACGTTTCAGGTTATTCAAACAACAAATATTTTTTGTTTTTCAGTGGTCCTAACTGCGTTGATGCTTACTTAGAAGTGAAAACCGTAACAATTGCTTTACCAAAGAAATTTTAATAAAGTAAAACAATGAATACTTCCGCCATCATGTTTACGTTGAAGTAGTAGATTTTGTAATTTGCACTTGATTTATTAAAATTATTTTAATTAAGACATAATTGTTTTATTTATTTAAACATTAAGCGCATTAATGTTGAAATTCATTTTTATTAATCAGATGAACTAAAATGAATATCAGAGAAGAAGATTAAGCGTTTTCTCGTGCGGCCTTTACTCATCATCATTTAGTTTTTTGTCTAGAACAAAGCGCCTAATTCAATCACCCGCTACTGAACGCTTTTGAACTAAAAACCATTTTAAAAATGGAAGCAAGGAGAAAATTTCATTTAGCCAATTTATTATTCGATGTTATTAACACGAACAAACCTGAAATACTTTATAAAAAATTAAATTGGAAGCGCAGCTACTGCAAGTATCTTAGCAGATCTTTTAACAAACCGCTTTCCTTGCCACAGTCTAGAACATCAGCGTTTAGTCAAGGATGCCGCCACTTGCTGTTGGAATGAACCACCTTATAAGGTCTACGAAAACCAAATTTGCTTTTAAATATCATTACAGAGACACCTTCTATCTGAGCAAAAAACCTTTATAAATTGTTTTGTTTTTACATAAATTTTGGAAATATCGTGATTAGATCTAATATTTTTCATCCCGACCTATACGGACGAGACGGGTATGACCATTCGCGCTACCACTTTAAAATATATTTTTTTGTACATTTTTTAATTTATTTCATTTCGTTTAATAACATCATATGTCTTATGTTCCTTTTTATAAGATTAATATGAAATTTATTTATTCTTTTTTTCTCGTTTCTCGCACTAAAATCGAATCATTAACTGAAAAGAAAGCACATGTCTGAGACCCACACATGTATAAATTGGTGGATGCATTTCCGATCCTAATTGAATTTCTCATTTTTTTGAGTTTTTTTATTATAATTTTATTTTCTTACATTTGTTCTTTGATCAATGTATTGATTTTTTCTTTTGGACTCGTTTATTTTCTTTTAGTGCCCCTAATCACTACATAGTATAAAACAAAGTCGCCCCTCTTTCTATCTGTCCGTATGTATGCTTAGATCTTTAAAACAGCGCAACGGATTTTGATGCGGTTTTTTTTAACTAGAGAAGGTTTGTATGTATAGTACATTAATAATAATATTCATACAAGTATAAGAATAGGAAAAAAAGCAACAATACCGGATAGAGGGCACAACTGAACTACGATATACATCAGCTCCGTATTTAGTGCAAACTAAAAATATAAACAAGTGATTTAATTGAACTAAATTTAATTTTCAAAACAAGTGCAGTGGATAAATAAACAAGTGACTATCGAAATACATTATGAACAAAGTTCAAAAACAGTGAATAACAAATTATATACGTGCAAAACAGTGAAGTGAAAAAGACGTTATAAAAGGATTATTAGTTACATTATCCGAAATAATAAGATAAAGTTACGGAACAAGTTACGTAAAATATTAATTACGCACTGGAGGAAAAGTTTAAAGCAATAGACGAAAAATACGAAGCCTCAAAGCGTAGCTGGAAAATCAAGAAAAAAGATAGTACTTTCTAGAAAAGCGGCCAAGACAAAGGGACATCGTAATTTTTGGTCTAGCGGAAACATCATATGAAAATTTATAAATTCATCATATGAAAATTTAGAAAAACATATTAAATTTCATAAATCAATATTTTCTCTGGAGGGCTAGAACTCAACTCAACTCAACTTAGAGACATACAAGAACTTAGGAGAATAGGAAAGAAAGGAGAAAAACCTCGGCCGATTACAGTAACTTTTACTTCAATGGGCGCGAAAATAGAAATCTTTAAAAAGAGGAGAGTATTAAAAGATACCACTTATTATATAAAAGAAGACTAGCCACAACATGTTTTAGAAAAAGAAGAGAACTGCAAGAGCAAGTTAGGATTGAGAAAGAAAAAGGAAACTTCGCCATTATCAAGTACAACCAACTGATAATACACCACAAAATTACAGATACACCAGGCAATAAGAAAAGAACTCTACCAATATCGCCAAAGTACAATGATCTTATGCAACCAGAACCAAAGGCACAAGCTAACAAAAAGAACAAAACTCAAACAGGACTAAAAAGATCGTATAGTTTATCAGATGGTGTTATGAAACCAGGAATACTCAGTTTCGTTACAACCAAAAACCAAACCACAAACAACCAAAACAACTGCGGTGGTAGGGCCATGCAGCAACCTCGGCCGTTGCACGAATGGAACCTGCCCGGGCGGACCCGGGCAGGTACGCCCGGGTAAGTACCACGACCTCACAGAAGACCGGCGTAAAGTGGAAGTATAATACTTTCGCGTTTCGTCTGGTGCGTGAGGTGGCCGGAGCCCAATTTTCAAAAGGTTGTCAATGCATCTGCAACCCTCGGATGTAGCAGATGTCCATGGGTGGCGGTAATCACTCAACATCAGGTGAACCGTCTGCTCTTTTGGCAACTTTTCACATAAAAAAAACTTACCAAACAACCAAAAAAACAAAAATAATAAACAATATCACGGCAAACACATTACAAATTAAAACAAACACTAAACCACATCTTCCAAGCCGGCTGGTATCCGTGGAAGATCACGACCAAAACTCTCCAGAGGAACTACCAGTTTTTTCAAACACCACAAAAAACAATCATCACAACACCCTACATGTAGCGTCTTATAATGTTAAAATACTATCGACTTATTCACGTCTACTGGAACTAACAGAATCTTTAAGAAACGTAAAATACGATGCATCAAAACAGAGGAACATGACGAGTTTAATTTATACCACATTGGAGAAACGCCAGGATTATATAGAGTAGGCTTTATTATCAAAAAACACCTGAAAAAATACATAATTAAGGGATTGTCAGAAAGAGTAGCGTCGGTAAGGATACATACCAACAATTTAGACCTAGGTATCATTCAAGCTTACACCCCAACAGAGGCCTCGAAAGATGAAGAACAAGAGCTTTTCTACAGTACTGTCGACGAGGCCATACGACTCGCAGGGAATAAGATAATAGTCACGGGTGACTTTAACGCCAAAATTGGTCAACCAAAACCAAACGAAATCATCAATGGAAATTACGGCTACGGAAACTGTCCAGGAAATAGTCTCATTGATTTCGCGCACGTGAACAATCTAGCCATTATGAACACTTTTTTCAATAAGAGCAACAAACAGAGATTGACTTGATTCCGCTTCGTGCTCTCGTACGGAACGGACCTCTCTCTAAGACGGAGGGCTAATGCCACCCGAATTAGACGCTACTCGCAACTTAGGTTGCAATTTAAATCTTTGTGCAAGCAGTGCAGTAGTTTAGTGTTAGTGTTGTGCTCGTAGGCAGGTTCCTGTTCTGTAAGTAGAATTCTATACACACTTCTCGCCTCAGAGGCGGCATTGTTTTTATTTAATAACTGTGTGCTTGTTGCGATAGGCGACAGCTAGGTACCCACCCTAGCGCACCTAAAGCGCAGGCGGATTAGTTGTTAGTTTTAGGCACATACCTCCCTGCCGCAAGGTGGGGAGGCCTATTTAGTAACTTACACGCCGGCGGGGCGCAAGCCCCAAAGGCTCAGGCGTCGTCATGGGTTTCCTCTTAGAGGAATTCCTGCGGCAGGAATGCCCCGAAGTATGGGCAAAATACTTAAATTTCGCCTTATCGTCGAATTCTCCAGCGACAATCCGGCTTCACCGGCAGTCGCCTCGCCGCCATCTCCGGTGCCCTCTGCGCCATTGAGTCGCCCTCTGTGACAGTTGAAACGCCCGTCGCGTCGACTTCCGCCGCCGCGAAAGAACCTAACGCGCCTTCTGCGCAAACAATTTCGGCCCCCTTCCACGCTGTCGTTCCCGACTCACAATCGGACGGCGGCTCAGACATGGAGGTCGAAACGACCCCCACGAACAACGCGAACGCCAACAGCTTCACCGTCGTTACATCGCGTAAAAAGGGCAAGAAACGCCCCGCTACAGACAGCGACCCCGAATGCGAGGCCGCCCCTTCAAACCGGCCCACCGCGACACCAGCCAAAAAGGCAGCCGCAACTGCCCAGTCAGAGCCGACATTCGCCTCCGAGCGAAAAATAAAGCCACCGCCGCCAATAATTATACAAGAAAAGGCAAAGTGGCACCAGGTGTGTTCGTGATTTGAACGCCACAACATCCGAGACCCCCCGGTCCAAGAATACTAATATGGGTATCCGCGTATACCTAGACTCCACGGACGACTTCCGCCGCGTAACAAAGTACTTACGCGAAGCTAAGGTAGGTTTCCACACCTACTCACTACCCGAAGAGCGTAAACTTCGGGTCGTAATCAAGGGCGTCCCGATAGAATCAGATGTCGATAGGGCTAAGGTCGACATCTGCACTCAAGGATACCCTGTGCACGTCGTGCGTCGCCTAAGACACCCTCGCACCCGTGTCCCTATGGACATGGTCATGGTTGAACTTGACCCTACCCCGGAAGGTAAGGCCATCTTCAACCTAAAGAGGGTCTGTGGGCTCAGTCACTTAGTCATCGAGCCCCCGCGCAAATCAGGTGTTGTGGCACAGTGCCACAACTGTCAACATTTTGGCCACACGGCCAATAATTGCTTCGCTCACCCAAGGTGCGAAGCAATTATTATATTTATCAAATGCACCGGTGACCACGGCACGACCGAGTGCACGAGGCCGAAAGATTGCGCAGATTCACCGGACTGCGTAAACTGACACGCCACCGGCCACCCGGCTAGTTATAGAGGCTGCGCTAAGGCCCCGAAAACTCCCGCGAGAAAATCTCCCGCGAAATCTACGTTGCCCAAACCCGCGCCCATTAAATACATTCCCGCGCCCGTACCCGTAATAAACGCCTGGGCGAAACCCCAGGTGGCCGCATAGGTAGTCGCGCCCCCGGTCGCCTCACGACCCATCGCACAATCGCAGCCCGCCTGTCAAACGGTGCCGAGGCCGCAGGTGCAGCC